AGAGAGAGAGAGAGAGAGAGAGAGAGAGAGAGAGAGAGAGAGAGAGGAAAATCTCCCGCCAACGAATATATGTTGAAATTATTGGGATCTATTTGAAATGATTGAAATGAAAATTGAGTTTGATTCGTGGAAATTAAAATGCGCTTTTAATTTATTCAAAAGCAATAAAAGCTGTATAATTTGAACATGTACGGCTTAAATGTGAATAGTTGAAGAAGCCATTACGCTTTGATTCTTCACACAAGAGATGAAACCAATGCACAAAATATATGTTTTCTTGCATTCGTCCAACCTTTGAATTTAATTCGAATTACAAAAATAGACATTTCTATATGAAAACGATATGAATATAGATAAGTTCTTGACCGACGAACTGAAAATGGTTCAAGTTCAATTGGACAGAAATGTTGTGAAGGAAAAATAGCGATTCAATTCCCATGTGTCCAAATTATAATTGAAATGTATAACAAAATGCCAAATGTTACGTTATGTCCATATTTCACACTTAAGTGTCAATCAATGGTAAAAGAATATTGTGATTAAATAATTAAATGCAATTTTTCAACATGATCTATCACTTTTATAGTGTATTTTCATTTCTCCTATTTTCCTATGATTTCTTGTCTCTATTATTTATCTTATTTCTCGTGATTTATCATCCTTCGTATCGTTCCTTCTGATTATTACCCTTTTTTTCCATTAGTTATGTGATGCAGCACAAAAATGGGCCAATCATTTAGCAGCAACAAATGAATTCTACTATCGATCAGCGAAAACACTCGGCCAGAATTTGTTCTGTTGCCCGTGCAGCGCATTGGTTACAGATTTAACAGGTAAAGCTCTTTCGTTTTATACCAAATCATCAGTCACGGAGGCTTCGGAATAAAAACCGAAAAAGGCCATATTTGGCAAAAGTATATTTTCTAAATGAATAAAAAATAAGTTCAACTCTATTCGATTTATATTGATGCCAATTTTTATTCAAAATTTCCATTCGACACCAATAAAATAAAAGGTCAAGAGGTGGCTTCGTACTGGTACAGTACGGTGCGGCGATACAATTATTTTAAGGATATACGTCTACTGCACACCAATGTCAATGCTGGACACTTCACGCAAATGGTGTGGTTGAAAACAAAACTCTTCGGCATCGGCAAAGCCACATCACAAACGGGCAAAATATTTGTGGTCGCCTTTTACTATCCACCAGGTGAGTGTTGTTTTTTGCATCAATTTATTTGGATCAACTCAACATTTGGTCGACTCAACATAATGATGTTTCGACGTTGAAAATGACATAATTTTAATTAAAATATTGTTCAGATCATTGTGTTTGAAGTATAGATATTGAAACTTTATCATTACAAGAGCATATTTGAATAGATTTTCCAGTTTGTGAAGTATTGATTTTACGCCAAAGGTGGAATATGTCAAGACTTTTGCATTTTCAGGATTACCACGGATTATAAAACACGAAATTCAATCAAATCCCAATCGAAATGCAGTTCAAAAATTGTAACCCTACTGACAAATCGTTCAAGTCATTTTTTTTGTTGGATGGAAAGTTTTGACTTCAAACAGTGTAGTTTCACTGAGTAAAGGAACGGTACAATGCAAATAAAATGATGTCAAGTAACTTGGAAAGATGTACTTTTGAAAGGTTCCACCAAGTTTGTCATTAGTTTGAAGGCTTTTTTTATACAAGTAACTTTCATCGACCACAAATCTGTCGACTTTAACATGAGATCATTCGCATTTCTTGCTATATTCAAGTTTTACAAATCAAAACACAACTTTTTCTTTAGTTTCATCTGTGTTCGAATTTGACTGTTTTTTTTTTTAATTCAATCCATGGATGATCTTATAAATTAATTTCATTGATATATTCAAACCTTGTCATCTTTGTTGAGCATTAACGATTAAGATTGAACATGAAAAGTTCTGAAATTGGCATTATTATTGAATTAGTTAATGGAAAAGTCATCAATAGTTCTGTCGATGTATGGATTATAGCCGTGTTGATGACTCATAGTAAGAGAGTTCTATCTAACCTTTTTAATGCGTGCGATAATGTGTCTTTACAGGGAATATAGTTAATGAATTTCATCTGAATGTACTTCCACCGACAATGGATCAGGCGTCATCGTCACCAAAAACCGATAGTAGTGCACAAACATCATCAAAATCAACATCAAGACGCCCCAAATGAATGTTTCGCAATTGAAATTCATGGTTTGATCTCAAATTCATAGCAAATAAGGTTTATTATATTCATTTAAATGCTCAGCTTTTTTTCTTACAAAATCAAGCTTTTAATTTACGTTCGAAATGTGAACAAAAATGAAATCAAATGCCTTTGTTAGGAGAAATTAGCGATACTTTTAAACAAAAAAAAAAAACTATTTGCACGAATCATAGTCTCGCAATTTGCACACGCCTTATTTTCCTCATCTGAATACCAATTTGCTTCCAATGCATACTTTAGACCATTCAAAACTTAGTTAGACCATTCAAAAAGTAAATAGGAACCAATGTAATAAATAGAAAAAGTAATAGTACAATCAAAATATATATATATATATAAACGCTGAAAGAGTAAACATAATACCGAACAGCTGACGCTTCAATCAGACTACACATCGACGTCAGTCTGGGCAATAGATGAACTTGAAATACATATACATGAAAATCCCGTCCAAACAAACAAACCAACAAATAAAAAAACCAAAATTTACGTAGACATTACAACGTACTTTTTAAGATAGATCGTTACAAATCAAAGCAAACAAAACAATTTAACCAGACACGTGAATAAAAATAAACGCAAAAAAACATATAGAAAAAAATACCATAAACAACGGAAGTGGATCTGACACGCAAAGTGGATCAACAAAATCAGAAACTGAATGAGACCGATACCAACTACTCAATATATAGATATACATTTTTATCGATTCCAATTGCTTGAGAGCTTCCAATGAAAATGATGACAAAAAAATAATAATCATTTTTGTTCTTGTTTGAAAACAAAAAAAAAGATGTAGAAAAAATTTGCTTAGTGATACGCTTATTAATTCTTCTGTTCTAGCTGTTCAGTGTAATATGCACTGAATTTTCTTTTCTCTTCTTCCCGACTCACAAATAAAAACATGGACATGGTTGTGTATTTTTGTTAATTGTTGTTAAATTAAACATAAGTAGAGTTAATGAATTATATTTAAAAAGCATGGAAAACATTTTTTGGCTTGATAAATCGTCATTTGAACTCAAGACGCGCATATTTTTGATAGTTGTATGCCCCAACAATTTTTTTACAGGGATAATATATTGTCTTGACCTTCCTCACTTTCACCATTTGAAAGAAATACAACAACAATGACAATGTATTCCTTTTTAAATGCTTCGCCGATTTTGAGGCCCCCGCCGTTCACAACGGGAATATAATTCAAGTCTCATTTTTGACATTAATTTTAAAATGGCTAAAACCGCGAACGATCAAGATACATTAAATTCAAGGCCTCCAAATAATCTACTTGGGTCATAAATTATTTTTTAAATGAATTAATAGTATGGCATTAAGAATAAAGAGTCATTTATCAAATACATTTTGATAGCAATGAAAAGAGTACCGTTTTGTGTTTTCAGTTTTTTTTTTGTTTTGAAAGTCTTGAAGAGAGCCATACCCATTCTCATTCTGCCTGCAGAAGTATGCATCTTTGAAAAAAAAATGGACATTTCCATAAAGTCTGTTTAAATTTTTTAAAATGTTTTTACTAATATGAACCAATTTTGACTTCCATCACACATAGAAACAGAAATACCGGGCTTAACAAACTTCATTGAATTTTTAAAAATAATAGTATACTTTCACAATTTTGTGAAATGAAAATAATCCTTTGGAATCAATGTATACAATTCAAAATACGGCAATAATTGGATTCAAAAGAATTTCGTTTTTTTTCGGAATGGTTGGTATAATTTCAATTAAAACACAATTTTTCGAGAAAAAAAATTTATAATTGCATAAAATCGAATAGATATATAAGTAATAAGACATAATTTTGCATTTAATTTGACTATTTCAATCAATTTAATTGTTTTCCCCATATGAATTGTAATAATAATATTAAGTGCTTGGCAATCAAAAATGTTCAGATAATTTTTATGACAAAAAAGCAAAATAAAACAGACGAAGAAATAAAAAAAAAAACAACGACTGAACGAAAAACATACTGCTTGAGAACGGAAACAAATAACAAATGAATGGCTTCAACGAACGAATATTTCCGATTCCATTAAAATTGACAAGATATTAACCGCGACACAGAGAAAATTGCATCAAGATAAACACAAAATGAATTCATTTGAAATCTGAATATACCACATTCACTGGTGTCACATGTACGACACAATGGATTAAGTCTCGAGCTAGTTCTGTTATTATGAGTCTATATTTGCCTTGGCCAGTTCATGTTGGCAATAATCCAAGCGGAGGAGCTTCGTCAACAATTTTGAATAACGCCTGAAATAGCCAACGAGAATTCTGTCCATGCCAATGTTTCAAACATAAATAAAACGCTACCAATTTCAATTCGTTTTTGCGAAAGAAAAAAATTAGCACATTTCAATTATTGCGAAGAGAATGCCTTCGATAAGTTTTTCTTTATTTTCACACAGGCATACAATGAATTATACATTGAATCGATGTGTTTTTCTGTCGGACCCTTTTTTTGTATATAGCATTTGGGAATTTGGCAACACACAATGCGGGAAATAACTATACATATCCAAAATGATTATAAACACAAACACACGAAACATCTTGTTCCGAATCAAATGCTGGGTGAAAAAAAGACCATAATTTAAGCGCCAGAAAATTTCCAAGTCAAAATACTTCAAACTTATTTTTTTGTCTGTTTTAATATTTCATATCGGAAAAGCTTTTTATTGAAACTATAAAGTTTATCTTGGATTTGACAGCAAATTTATTTCATCAAAAATCCCATAGAAGATGATTTATTTTTTGGATTTTTTTTCTTGCTGTTTGCTTTGGAACAATGTAATGCAGTTATCTCAATCAATTCAAACAAAATGAAAAGAAAGATATTTCTCGATGGAAATCTTAACGAAGAAATGAAATTTATTTTAAAAGATCTGTGATTTACGAATATATAAATAAAACAGTGCAACGAAAAGATTATTAGGAATTCGATTGTTAAGTTACTCGTTTTAGTGGCTTATTTTGTTGCCATCGAGTGACGATTTGCCGAAAGATTAATCTTTACGTGTAGAAAATTTGCATATTTCGATATTTTAACGGTCAAGTGTAGCGAACAATTATTTTTCTCGATCAAAAGTAAGTTTAAGAAATAAACGAAGAATAAAATCAATGTTCAAGATTAAGCTTAACAAATGATTAATTGTATTTTAACTGGATGAAAAACATAAATAGAAAATTTACATTTTAGTTTTCACCGATTTTTTTTATTATTTTGATTTTATTTTAGAGATTTATACTTTTTATTGATGTATTTTGAGACGTCAATTCAAAGTTAAATTATTTTAATATAACGCAATAGAACGAAAAAAATATGTCTTGAAGCAAGTATGTATTTAAATAATAATATAATTTAAAATCGCTTGTATTTTTTTGGCATAGCATGATTTTATGAGTAATAAAAAATAAATTGAACCAATATTCAATGTGTACTTTTTATTCCATTCAAATCAATCCGCAAGTAATGAGAATCATTTCATATTTTATTGAACCCAAAGACTTTCAGCCAACAGTCAAAGGTAGGAATTTAACTTCGACCATACATTCATACTTTTCAACCATACCATTTGCAGTAGATGACTATATTGATGAATCATTGTTGCGACGAAATCAGGGATTGTTCCTCTGAGGAGGAGGAATGGTGAGGAGGAAAATGAGGAAGAGGAGGAGAGCGAGGAGGATCCTCCTCCTCAACTGAGGAGGAAAAGTTTTTTTTGCTCAAAGGGCTATTTTTATCACATAAATATCATTTTTTGCTAAAAACATTTTCCTCCTCAGTTGAGGAGGAGGATCCTCCTCGCTCTCCTCCTCTTCCTCATTTTCCTCCTCACCATTCCTCCTCCTCAGAGGAACAATCCCTGGACGAAATAGCACAAAGTTTTTTTTATAAAAAAATTCTAGACCATATTTAATGATTCTTTTGTCGTTTCATCGTTATTTTAAAGGAATCTGAGATTAAAATTTCGGTTGAAAGGATCCAAAATATCGTAATATTTTGGGGAAACAAATCTCAAGAAATACTGAAACATTCAATATACCGAGCTTCAAATCAAGTTACTTACAACTCAGTTTGTACAATTCAACGAAATTGAACTGTACGCGAAGTATGTCGAAAGACATGCCAAATGCAAGCTCAAATAATCAGTTTTATATCAAAACCAGGACGTTCATTGTAAATGTTTATTAGTTTTCCTTAATGAAATGTCTTTTTCATCCGGAAACATGTCAGAGAAGATGGTCCATAAAAAATTGCATTAGATGAGACGAAAAATGCTTACATATGAAGTGGTTTTCATATTTGATTATACCATGTTCATCATACAAATTGAATCAAATTGTCCATTAGTTTTGCACTGTTTGCATTTTTGACCTTGTCAGTGTGCTATCAATGCTATAAATATATCGAAAAATGAAACAACATGAAAACATTTCCTTAAAATTGAGTCCATTTAAAAGAAATAGTGATCGAACGAATACCGTTCATCCGCACAGATGAATTCACATTTTGGTGCATTTTTGTTACTACAGTAAAACATGTCAATAGCACTATTGACAAGAATTCCACTATTCCCAGGTTCCATTAATAACAGGTTTTCATGCCAATTCAGAAATGATTTTCCATTATTGGGGGTAAATTTGAAAAAAAGTAGAAATTTATATATTTTTATCATTATATAGCTAGCAAAATTTTTCAGGGGATGATTTTAGAAAAACATCCTAGAAATCAAAAGAAATTTTCACATGGGAAATCCTAGCAAAAAGAGAATTTTAATCGGAAAAAATTGACTTCCAAAAAAAAAACAGCTCAAAAATCCCTAGCAAATCGAAAGAATTTCTCTCGCGTTCCAGAAACCCTAGCAAATCAATAGATTTTTTCCCAAATTTTTTCCACTATTGGGGGTGAGCGTTTTTTACAATTTTCCACTATTACCAGGTCATTTTGTGTGGGAGAGCTCAACGGCGGAAATTTTTTTCCACTATTGACAAGAATTCCACTATTCCCAGGTTCCATTATTGACAGGTTTTACTGTACTTTTGGGAAATATTTAGGTACACAAATTTAGACTTCTCCGGAAATAGAAATCGAAACTCATAGATAAAAATGGGAACTACATTCAATAAATGTCTCGAAAATGCACCAATGTACCACATGGATTTATCTAAGCGGACAGATCCATCTGACGGTATTCCTGGACATAGTAATATGTTCGATAATTGGAGAGAGTGATGTCAATAATTGGTATGTATACTATAGAAGTACGTGATTGGCCGTAAAATAAATGTATGGTCATGTGAAAACTCCAGAAATTCAATTTCCCCTCGTTATTTTTCTTCTTCAAAAGTACATAAATGGTTCAAACATCTATTCCATGTAAAAAAAATGCACCCCGTGTTATTTCGTATCATACAGAGCACCATCTATTTTGGAAACATTTGTTTCTATATGTGTGTACTGGTCAAAATTCTTAATTATATTATTTTGGTAATATTTTCTCCCCTTTGCCATTTTGTAGTACGAACTTACAATTCGTTCCTCCGTTCAGTTATGCATGATAGTAATTGCTACGAAATAAAAACTCTTTCATCATTTCTGTCATAATTTGATTCATTGTTCACATTGTTGAGGTCAATTGTAATTCGAAGTTTTTATTATTCAGTTTAGATACATTTATAAATGCCAACGGTGTTTTTCTTTGAAGAAAAATTGTTAATAACATTTATTTATGGCTTTCCTGTCAGTGAATACATGTTTTTTTGACCATTTTGATCTTGTTTTCCAATCTAATTCGAATTTGATTACCGTATCAAAAATAGTTGATTTTGTTTTATTTTAGCGGATATTTTGACGAAAAATGAAATCAAAAACCAAAAAAAAAAGAAACTCTAACGACTTATACAACTGATGAACACTGTCATTTCAACATAAATAAAACATTCCAAGTATGATATTCAGAAAAGAAAAAAATATAATATTGAACTATCTAGAATGTTTATTACGTTATACGCAAATAAAATGCGCGTTTTACGCTTAACCAAAGGCTTTTTTTTATACAACAACGAAAAAAGCAATATAAACTTAAGTTTAAAAAAATGTATCGTTCGCTAAATGCACGCTGATCCTTATGCTGTTTTCTATTTTTCCTTCATGTTTGGATTTTATCTATTTGTTTGTGAATTTGTTGTAATTTCTTTTTTATTTGTTGCGGGTGCACGTTTTTCAAAAACAAAAACATTTCCACTAAATTACATCTTAGCTGATTATTATTTGTACGTTATAAATATGACTATATTTTTTGTTTCATTGTTTATCCGTTTGTGGTGAACTATTTTTGTTTTCTGTTGAAGTGTTTTCATTTCATTAGTATAAACTCGTTTTTTTCATAACCCGTAGAAATTCCTCTTCATTTACTTCACCATCGCCATCGAGGTCGGCTTCTTCAATCATCTACATTCAATTGGAAGAAAAACAAAATCAATGAAATGAAAATCATTGGTGAATCAACATGTGTGTTGTCGTACCTCTTGCAGTTCTTCATCGTTCAGATTTTCTCCGAGCTCTTTGGCAACACGTTTTAAATTTTTAAATGAAATTTTTCCGGTTTCATCATCATCAAATAATCGAAATGCTTTCAAAATTTCTTCATTTGAATCTTTTTCGGCCATTTTCACTGTCATCAGCTGTTGAAAATCGCCAAATGATATTTTACCAGTACCATCTTTGTCCACTTCTGCAATCATTCGTTTAATTTCTTCTTTTTTTGGTTCAAACCCCAATGCACGAATCGCCACCTTTAATTCTTTTGTATCAATTAAACCGGTGGCTTCTGTATCAAACAGATTAAATGCTTCTTTGATATCGGCTTTTTGTTCTTCTGTCAAATCGAATTTTGGACCGGATTTTTTTCGTCCTGAATTTCCACTGGCTCCAGTTGCATGGCTGGTGGTGGCGGTCGACTTTTTACTTGGTGCAACTACACTTGTTGCCATCTACAAAAAAAAAAAAAAAACACACAGAAAATTATTTTACTGGGACTAAGCAGGATACTTTGTTTTAACGGAAAATGAATGATTACTTTAATCATGAAAATCAACTTCAATACTGAGTATAAAATGCAAATCGAATCGTAATGCTAGTAAAAAGAACATTCCAAAGTATACTTGATTTATGTTTTCTTTGAATGTTGAAAATCAAATTCTTCAAGGTAATGTAAACAATATTGAATATCGAGTATGTTGCTTTGCTTGTAAGAGTGTAAATGGCAATTACGTGATGTATAATGTTTCTTTTTTTCATTTCTTCTACTAAAGTATTTGATTCTTTTGGAGGATAACACTACAACACTCTCCGCAAGCGTAAATACACCGAAGATTACGTTTATTTTACTTACCGTTCTTGCCTTCTACACTTTGTGTTGGAGAAAAAAAAATATATATATATCCCTTGATTGAATTTTACAAATCGGCCTAATAAACTAAAATGCAATTTATTTACTATTTATTAAACTATTTTGATGAAATTGACAATTGTAATTGAAAAAACAAAACAAAATTTTACTTTTCAATTCGATTTACGGTGACACGAACAAAAAATCTGTTATCGATAAAACTTTTCAGTCGTTATGTTCAAGACCATCTATAAACAAACAATATTGTGCACAAGCTTAAGTAGGCGAAAGCGCCTTTGAATGTTTGTAAACTGTCAACAAATGGTTTGTGACAATCAGACCCCACAGTGAATTTATTCAAAATACGAACGTATTCATTTGGCCATACAAATCAATCGACATATGGAGTAAAAAATCGTACAAAGCATGAGAATGAAAGAGAGAGACAGAGACAAAAGAAATAAAAATATATAAGCCTTTTATCCTATGTTTGAGTGACGTTTTCTTTGATTCTTTGCTGTTGATTGACATACCAAATAATATTGAATTTTATTGAGCAGAGTTTTTTTTGGGGTGACCATTGTTTACGTCTTCAAATTCATATGACCGAAATGTCTTCATTAAAATTTTCTTTTTTTGAAATCATTTTTGTTGTGCGACACAATTTTTTTTCCAATGACTTTTACTTGAAAGAATGTGCACATTTTTCGGTGCCGATAACTTTTAAATTGTAATAGAGACAGTATATGATTGTATCGGGTAACACAGCATTTGAAATTTAATTCGTCGTTAGATCAAATTAATCACATTAATTTGCATTTGTAATACGATGTAATGGAGCAAGAACTTGATTGAATGCATTATAAGGAAGAACTTGAAGTATGAAGCCAAAGATACTTGGAACTTTTGTAATGTAAAATCGGAATTGTCCATTCCTTTGTAACATAAAATTGCATCAAAGTTACGGATTCAAATATGACTCTTGTCAGCGGTTGATTTATTCCGATTCAAATTCAAAAAAAAATAGTTCATCGAATTTGTGCGCATTTTCTTTTATTGAATTCGATATTTCTTCTAAATAAAAGGCAATGGGTCGTCATATTTTGATGAAGCATTATTATTCGATTGTTTGTGTTTTGTACAAAGAAATAAAACTTAATAAATTCCATCACATAAAATGTTTAATTCAAAGCAGAAACCAATTGAAATACAAAACGAAATTAGGTGTACCAGCGTCGACATGTGTCAAAGGCTACGTGTGTGTTTGAGAAAAAATGTGCACATGTACACAGTACAGACATATACGCAAATATCAAAATGGCTGACACACCGACGACATAGTGCGTTTAACCTATTTGCTAAGCCATTGATTGTTCTTACAAAGTTTTTGGTTATGTGACGAAAAAATTGATTTTTTTGGGTGAACAAATTCAACGAAAGAGAGAAAAAGTAAAACGGTTTCCTAACCACAAAAATTGTGCAATTTTTTTTTAAATCAAAACAAAACACCGTCTCAATTTCCAGTAAATGGAAATTGATGATCGTGACCCGTCGAAATAAAATCAAGCGATTTGATATAAATGTATATATGTGAGAGCATTGGTGCTTAATATTTTTTTCTTCTCACATTTGACTTTCGCATTTCGTATTTTTTTTCTCGTCATTCGGCTCTGGTGGTGCACCAAATTAAATAGAAAGACATAGTGTTGTTCACTGAGCGCCTAGCTTTGGCATACATATATACATATATGATATATATATATATATTTACAAGTGCAAATGAATGAATGTGTGTTGAGTCCATAGTGCCACAGATATATACGCGGTACGAATTAATATTTCTTATTTGACCATATTAAAGAAATAAATACAAGTTTTGGGGAAAATTTTGATCACAAAAAGTAAAATTATGACATTTCAAAATTGACATTGAATTAACGCCGTATTTTTTTAAAAGAAGAAATACATATAAGTATATATGGTCAAGATTTTGTGGGAGTAAAATCAGCTGATTTTTTTTTTAAATATAATTTTACTTCTGATTTGGATTTATAATTCATGCTGAAATTTTGATTGGAAATACACCGCACACGATGCTTCATTGATTATTGTATTGATTAAAAGAAGCATTTCTACGTTAGCATCAGATAGACAAACGTGAATCAAGTCAAGTTTGTTTATGTTTTCGTTTACAAATGCATAACCTCAATATATTTAAAAATAAAAACAAATCTCTGATCTCTGGAAAATTGTATGGCCAAAATCCTAATAAGTAAAATGCAAGCGAAAAAAAAATCCAATTTACAATACTTCTGATAGGAATTTCAAGGTTTTCATTTTTCGATCAATAAAAATTCATGGTAATAATTCGAATGTCAGAGTACTATGAATTTGCTTGCAATTCGAAAATTATTATTTTCATCAATTTAATTAAGATCACGATAAATTTGATAAAACTAGTTAGGCATGGATCAATTCATAGAAAAATTAGAGATCATCTTTAAAAAAAAAAATCATTCTTCAATTTCAACTAAAATTTTGAAAAAATCAAACCGTTTAAACAATATTTTTATTTTCATTGCAGTTTAATATCGAAGAGTAACCAGACTCAAAAATGGATCAAGAGTATGGAATAGCTTGGGCCCAAGGGGTCCACTCTGATGAACATGGCCATCAAATAATATGTGAATCTGGTGCCGATGATTTAATTGAAGAAAATAATGACATTGAAGAGGATGAAGAATATTTGGTTGGCGAAGAGATAATCCCATCAACCGAAATTATAACCATATCGAATAGTTTGGATCAAATTGCTGCCGAAAATTTAATTTACATGGCACAGGATGGTAGCGTTGCGAATATGGGTTAGTATTATTTTTCCATTATGTTCCATTATATGTTGATTAATTTTCCATTATTTCCATTTTTTTTTGTGTGATTCACTCTCAGGTGACCTTATTGAAGAACAAGTTGATCAAGTCGACAATGCTGACTATAACGAGCAACAGTATTTTGAGTGCACCGTCACCGAAGAGGTCATCACCGATGATTGGGTGCAGCAACAAGGTGAAGATAGGTAAATGAAAAATGCATGCATAAAGCAGAATCGCAATCCAGAATCGTTATGAAATGTTGAATTTAATCAAATTTCAGAGTCGAGGTGCCTGTATATCAATTGGGAGTAAATGAACAAAATGAAGAGGTACTTGTGCCATTGCCAACCGATGAGTATACAACATCACGTCCATATCCATGTGATTTTTGTAGTCGTCGATTTCGTAAAAAGACCAATCTCATGAATCACATGGTTGCCCACAAAAATGTAAAGCCACATACTTGCAATTTATGCGGTGCACGTTACATTCGCAAAATAGATTTAATGAATCATTTGAAAGTTCATGCACAAGTACCAGATCAAAATATCGAATACAATAATGATGATAAAAGTGCCGATGAACAAGACGATCTTGAAGAAGATTCATTATTAACAACTCTGAAAAGTGAACCGGTGGGTAAACCACGTCGCCGAACTGGACCAATTTTGCAACGAAAAGTAGTAAAAATTGAAAGTGGCGGTAGAAGAACCGCACAAAAAAAGTTATATAATGAAAATGTTGGCACAAGTAGCCACTATGAATCCATTATACCCGATCATGTAACGGCAATTGATTCAAGTAAACCGTTCGTGTGTCAAGTGTGTGGTGTCGCTTTTAGTCGTGAAAAAGCCCTTAATGCACACGTCGCACTGCATGGCATTGGTAATGCGCTCGAGTGTGAAACATGTAACGAAGTATTTTGGACAGTGGAATCATTGCAACAACATCAGAAAATCCATGAAGTCGATGAAGAAAGCAGCGGTTCAGAATATGAACCAGATGGTGATAAAACCGCTAGTGACGAAGATTTCGATCCAAAATATGGCAATTATTATTGTAATGTGTGTGGCATGTCATTTCATCGACCCGATTTACTTAAACGTCATGCAAAAACCCATAAAAAAGACTATACTTCAAATAAAAATGACAACACAACCGAAAGTCATTGTTGCAATGTGTGCGGCAATACATTCGAAGAAGCATTGGATCTACTTGCACATGCCGAAATTCATACGAGAGCCTCAATTCAAAAGTTTGTAAATCATTGTGTATAAATCTCATTCGTATTGTGAATAAGATCATTTTAGCATAATGTTATATAATGCGATTGACTTTCTTTTGTTTTTTGATTCAGGTGCACATTGTGTGGCGAATCGTTTACACATGACAACGAAATTCGCCAGCATATTGTTAACGTACATGGCAGAGAGCTGACAAGTACAACGTGTCGAATGTGTGGCAAACACTGTAAAGACGAACGTACGCTAATGAAACATGCATGGGATCATTCCAAAGAGAAAAACCATTCCTGTACGAAGTGTGGCAAAACATTTCACAATAAAGCACGACTCAGACGTCACATGCAATCACATCGCAACAAATCTGTATCGTGTAATGTATGCGGCGAAAATTTCCCAGATGGTCGTTCATTGATGAATCATCGACATTCCCATTCAAATTTATCGGGTCGACAATTTCCGTGCCGTGAATGTGGTAAAACATTTGGATCGCGTAGCTCACAACAAATTCACATGAGAATACATACTGGTAATTGGAATTCAATAAAATTACTTTGTTCTTCTTCTTGTTTGTTTGTTTTTCTGTCAATTCAATTCATTGTTATTTCATTCTTGACATGCATTTTGTATGTGTGTGTGTGTGCATGTGTCATTGAAAATTTGTCATTTCGATGAAAATCGATTATTAATCCAATTTCGTTCAATTTCTTCAAATTCCACCAGGTGAACGACCTTATGGTTGTCGGTTTTGTTGGAAGGCTTTCGCAGATGGTGGTACTCTACGTAAACACGAACGCATTCATACAGGTATATCGATATTTTCGAATCGTTTTTTCTTCTTTGATAAAATTTCAATTATTTATTTTTTACGGCGTAATTTTTTGTTCGAATATTCACACTTTTTTGTTCGTTTCGTTTTTCCAGGCGAAAAACCGTATGCATGCCCTGTATGCCCAAGAGCCTTCAATCAACGCGTGGTTTTACGTGAACATATTCGTTCACATCATTCACAACCCGATCCAAACTATGAAGACTCATTGATGCCATACTATTGCACTGTTTGCGGCAACCTATACAAAACGTCACAGGAAATTATTCAACATTTGATTGAACATAGTGATGCAAATACGGTATCAAACCGCCAACCAGTTGTATGTATCGTCATTTAATTGTTTTTCTTTCTTTTTGGTTGAGAAAAATGGCACAAATATTGATGGCGCATTTGATTTTTTAAATAGGTTGGGCCCCGAAAGTACAAACGTCGACGCAAGCTAAAGCCAGAAGAGCTCGAAACGTTCCGCAAATCGAAAAATGAAACCACCACAACAAAAACCACATCAAAGAGAACATCTCGCAAGCGAGATGTATCTGAACAGAGTGACACGAATTATAGGTAATGGTTTTTTTATATTTTATTTTTTTACGCCATTCGAAAAAATAATTAATATTATTAATTGGTAGGGCAAAAACGGTTTTTTGAAAAAATAAATAAGTATATTTAATTATTTTGTACAAATAGCTCATCGTATGAACATCAAGAGGATGTGATTTATGAGTCCAGTCGAAATGACAATGATACAGATAATATTGAAGTGGACGAGCCAGAAATTCAAAGAATACACAGTGTTGGAACGCGTGTCAAACCGGAATCATATGATTCAGATCCTCTCTATACCGGCGAGTATCTCGAAGAAACGGCACCAAAACGAAAATCGCCAACTAAAAGACAAACAACTGGTGTGTTTTTGCATTCAATTTCTTTTCTTCATATTCATTTAATCTTTCAAACGAATAATTAATATTTTTGTTGTTGTTGTTAAATTCTTAGTTGCATCACAATCATCCACATCGTATTACGTACCAGTAGCACAAAGCACCAAGAAAAAAGTGGTGATTGAAACAAAAGGCAGTCGAACGACAACAAAAGTTAAGAAAGTCATAGCATCGAATCAAATAAAATTGACGCCACCTGAAATCGATAATGGTGGCACACGTCGATCGAGCCGTACCAAACAACCAACAAATAAAAAAATGGAATCATTGCCATCACCATCGAAGTCAATGACAAATGGAACGCCACGATCAAAATCACAAGCGAACGCTTTGAGTAATTTATATGGCGAACTATCATTAAAAAAGACAACAAACTTAAATCCAGATGTTGTAAGCGATTTGGAAGGAATTTTAGGTTCACCAATTAAAACAACACGTGAAACACATCGTTACGAACAAGTATCAATATCCGAGAATGTGAATGCAAAAAACGTTGACGTCAAACCACACATCAATGATGAAATAAAGCCAGCGACTCGGTCCAGTAAACGGTTAAGCAATCGTGTTCAACCAACCGTCGAATTACCGCTAAAGGCAAAAACGGTAAGAACCGCGAAAAAATTGTCAACAGCCACTGTTGCTGCATACCATGCTGATCACATAAGCGAATACAGTCAAGAGAGTCAAGACGATCCATTTGGCAATTTACAAAATAATATCAGCGAAGGTGTTGTGATTGTAAAACAAGAGAAAGAGGTTTCATACACAATGACAGATGATAGTACTAATTTACTTGTATGTGAAATGTGCTCAGCCGTATTCACCGATCGTGAACTATTGCTTGCGCATGTTCGTGTACATATTTGAACATATAAGAATTAATTTCCAACAAAATAGATGGAAGGAAATAAAACCAGGACAATCAACCTGCTTGTATCGATCTATTTCACAACAATTTCTCGAAAGAAAAAAAATTGTCTGTCTTATATTTTTTTAACGATCATTATCTCTAAGATTCACCACCAACATTTTTTTTTTTTTTTTTTTTGAAAATGAAGCAAATGGCATTCTCTACACTCAACATTCAATGAATAAATCTGTTGATTTTTTTTCTTACCTTTTCTTTTTAAACTAAGTTTCATTTGAGTTAAACAATTCTAGCATAAACGTAAGATTAGCTTTTCACCTTAAGTTGAGAAAACAGCAGTAACTTAGAATTTAACCATAATGAGAAAGAAACACCTACATAATAATCGTGTTTGATTTACATTTTAAGATTAAAATATAGAGAAACTGGATGGATTAGATCTTACATTGTTACAAATTAGAACAACGTTTTTTTTTTTGTAATTTCATTGATCAAAAAAAAGTAAATAAAATTTTGATTTTTGTTTGAAAATCATAATTGCATTTGATTTCATTCTCTACGCTCCAAACGTTTTACTAATCGATGAATTTCCAATTTGAAACCATATCGATTATTTATTATGAACGCCAACAAATTGCTATTTTTATAACTCACTCGAAAGAAAAATGGAGTCACGAACATGAAAGGCATTAAAATATCATCACTGTTCTCAGTGTGTTTGACGTATTATCGACAATGATAATTTATTTGAATCAAACAGAAATTGTGGTGGGCGTTTTGGACAAAATAATAATGCTATGTGGATAATCAGTATGATGAGAGATACTTTGAGATGTGTCTGTGCTTTATATATTATTATTTTTTTTTTCATTTGGAAATTGCCTTGAACCCACAAACATCTAAATAAAGAATAATCATAGCTTTGATTCTTTTCATTGCAGCGAAAATCCTTATCAAACTTTCTCAATAACTTGATTTTTTTTTCAATTTTTATCAAAGCAAGAAATACAGAAGGATAAGATAAGAGAAGAGAAGGGTTCGATGAAAATTGGGAGAGAAGTGTACGCCTCTAATATTTCTCTTTAAGACTTTGCTTCTATGGCAACAAATGTAAAAGGGAGACATTACGAAACATCCATTGGATTAAAAAAATCATTCAAAGAATATGCCTAATTGGAAAGCAAAATGAAAACCCGTAAAATATTCATGGTTTCAATCGTGATATTTTTTCTTGATCATCTTCAATGGATGGCTTTATTATAAGACCATATAAATGTAAAATAAGTAATACATGGAAATAGATTCATCTATTTTTGTGTTGTTTTTTTTTATTCAGTTTATAAACTATCGCTTTTCAATGAAATAATTTGTTATCAAACAAGATTCTTAAATATTTTTTTTTTTTTTTTATTTTAAATGAAATTAGTTATTTTCATTAATTGTTGCATTTCAATAATATATCATTTGTGGTCGACATCAAAATCAACATCTCATAGTTAATTTTTTTGTTTTATCCTCTTTTGCAAAATTTGTATATATGTGTTGGTTTTTTTGTTTTAATGTATTGAGTACAACAAATTGTTTATTTATTTTGCGAAATTCGCATTGTAAACGTCTCATTTTGCTAAAATCCCATCATGCTTTTTATATATGAGTCATTTTCACATATATTTCCGATAACTTCGTAAATCACCATTTAAACTGTCATCGTTGTTTTGTTCAATTGCGGCTGCAGCTGCTGTTTCGAATGACGGTGGGCTGGGTGGCTCTCTGGCAAAGAATAAACGAGCAAAAACAATGATTCAATGTTTTCTTTTCTTTTTTTTTGTAAAATGATTTTGGGGAATTGAATAATAAAACAAAAAACGAAACTATGTCGTACTTACAGTGAACTATTGTTTTTACCAGCAGCAGTAGTTTTGCGGCGACCACGTCGTGAACCACTGGCACCGCCAGATGCACGTTTGCGTGGTGTTTCTGTTGTGTGTAAACTTCGCTGTAGCTTCTGTGTGGCCGGTCGTCGTTTCCTTCGTTTCTTGCTACCGTACCGTGGATCATAGTCATATTCATCATCAACGGGTGATTTTGGCTCTTCCAAACCATCAATTTCATTCGGATATTCATCATAAAACCACTCAGTTGGATAAGGACGAACTAAAAATAATTATGACGCATTTAAAAGCGATGCCGATGGCAAATGAATAAAATGTACGACTTACCAATATCATCTTTGATGTGTTGACTATCCTTGCTATCCGATGTATCACCAGCGCCGCCTAACGATGAGCTTTCCTCCAAAAATGAACTACCATTAAAATCTGTTTCGGTTTCATCTCGATTTGGATGGTATTCAAGGCGTCGATGGCTGATGCTATTCGTAGCCGCACCATTTGTTTGAGCCGCTGTTGAAGTTATCGCACCAATTGAGCTAAACGGTCGTAACATTTTCGACAGATATTGACGTCGATGTTTTCGCCATCGTGCCGCTATAAAAAAAAAATTAAAAATGTGTTAATTATTTATTATCACATAAAAGCAAATGGAAAAAAAGAAACCCGACTAACATCAACCAAGCTTAGTTATTGTGTTATAAAAAAAACATTAAATTTCTCTCACCTGGATATGAATATATTTGTCCACTTCGAAATCCGGGCATTCGTTGTCGGCGTGCCATAAATAATGAGCAATGATTTTGAGCAACGCCAGTTTGTGGATCGAAAAATGGTAAACGTAAACGTCGTTCAATGCACAGTCGTGTATTAAAATTCGAACTATATTCAATATTTTCTCGATAAGCTCCAGCGTTCATGAAACGTTCAATTTTCTCCAAATTTGCTGTGTTCGCAATTTGAAAATCCATTGCTGATGCTGACGACATTTTTTCGCTCGTTTTTTTTTTCTTCTTTCGTATAAATTTTTCTTTTTCGTTTAATTTCTATTTAAATAATTTTCATTAAATTAAATTTAATGTAAAAATAAAAAAAAATTCTCTTGCACGGTATCAGGCGTAAATTTCAGCCTATAAATATTACGATTAATTTTCTGTCTTTTGAATTAAATAGATATTGATGATGTTGTATCATAAAATAGACACATACTTTATTTGTAATCGAAACAATACAAATAAACACAAATTTTCATTTTATTTAATATTCATTATTAAATCGCTTTCAGTTATTTTTGTAGATATATATTTCACCCTTTTTATTTAATATTTAATAACACGAAATGTCAATCGACACTAATTTTTATGTTGACAATACTTGGAATGAATATCGGGCTTGTATTGTTGTTGGCCGAATCTGATGATCCACACAGGCAAATTTTTTATCTGCATTTACACTGATTTTGTTTTTGTGTGTGCTTTTTATCTCAATTTCAATTTCTGCTGTTGTTATTTAACACATATATTAACTACATAAAAAGAAGCACTACGATTGCCTACGTCGCGTCAAGAGCACTTTTTTCCTATATATTTCGAAATGATTCTTCTTCTTTTTTTATCTCTCTCTCGTTCTTTCGCTCGTTACACAGCCGAATAACAACGATCTGAATGCCCGAATTTGGCAAACATTTTGTATGATTTTTTTTTAAAATGCCATGTTAAATTGGTTGTGGCTTTTTTCTATCTCGGTCGTGAATGATGCGATATTTTCACAGTCCGATTGACCGAAATGAATCCGACGACTGACCAGATATTCTCTCTGGTATGAATTGATAATCCAAGGCAATTTCAAAGCAGTAACAAAGTCAATTTTCAATTCTGATGTCGTGTGTATATTTGCTTCGTTATTGAGTGTGGCGACAGCAGTAGCAAAAAAAAAATTATTTTTCCTGATAGAGAGAGAGACGGTACGCGTACATTACCATTATTTCAAGCACACACATATACAATATTCCAACATACATGCACATGTACCATAAACGGACAACACGCAGGCAATTGCGATTTCAATGACAGATTGCATATGCTGTATGTATGTTGTATATGGCATTGCCTTCCGTCAAACATACATATACTCCTTATTATTCTTGCTCTCGTCGCACAAAAACTAATTACTCGATTTGTGTGCTGCGTATGTGTATGTGTACATATTCGCATGGACTATTTCGATTTGAGAATGAGACATACGGGAAATTGTCAAAAAAACATACGCATACACACACACACACACATTGCTACATGCAAGCGATAACGGCATCTTTTTTAGCGCATCGAAACGCATTCAACAATCGGTTTTTCTATGATGTGTCTTCTTTTCATTTCGTCCTTAATTATTCATATATGTAAAATGTTTTACATAAATTACGGATATTTTGAAAAGGTTTTCAATCGGACATTTTTTCTTTCGTCTTAAAATTATCATGACTGTAACTATGAAAAGAATGAATCAAAAGATATGTTTGACTGAAAAATTGTATGCCATTTATTTTCATATTCAAATCAAAGTCTCTAATTCATAAAAATTGACCTGAATCGAATGGTACGTTCAACAAATCAGTGTATGTGTATGTGTAACCAGTGTGTTTGGTTCTATCTCACACCATGAACCAATAATACACGCGAAATTTGACAGTTGTTGACAGTTGTTGAAGTTCGAATTTCGGATATAGGTTCGCTCTCCTCCGTTTTGACAGATCGAAAGCACATGCATGCTATTCAACATCGGTATTTTATGTTTTCACAACAATGCACGTTGCTTTTATTTTGATTATTTGAACAAGGTTTGATTTAGCATTGAAAATATTGACGGAGATTATTAAGACAAAATGGCCAACACATTTGAATCACTTGGAATTGTTCCATGGATTGTGCGACAAACGACCAATTTGGGTAAATAAAAGATTTTAAACGCATTTGTTTGTTGGAAATTAATAGCTTCGTTCGTTTTCCTATTTTCAGGTTTGAAAAAACCAACACCCATTCAAACGAATTGTATTCCACAAATTTTGAACGGATTGGATTGTATTGGAGCTGCCAAGACTGGGTAATTTCAACAGTTTTCTTTTCATATTGAAATCTAATGACTGAATCGAATCTAAATTTTTTTTTGTTGTTGTTAGATCTGGAAAAACGTTTGCCTTTGCATTGCCAATTTTACAAAAACTAAGCGAAGAGCCAACACATCATTTTGCATTGATTTTAACACCAACACATGAGCTTGCCTATCAAATTTCGGAACAATTTTCGGTTGTCGGCCAAACGATGGGTGTTCGTGTGTGTGTTGTGGCCGGTGGCACGGATCAAATGATTGAAAGTCAAAAACTACAGAATCGTCCACATATTGTTGTCGCAATGCCCGGTCGATTGGCTGATCATCTAACTGGTTGTGATACATTCGATTTTGATAATCTAAAATTTTTAGTTGTGGACGAAGCCGATCGAATGTTGGGCGGTGCATTTGACGAGCATCTTGCCATCATTGAAGAGCGTTTGCCAAAAGAACGTCAAAATTTATTCTTTTCGGCTACGCTCAATGATTTTCTTAAAGAATCAAGCATTTTTCCCATTTCCGATACGGCATTTGAATGGTCTGAACAATCAGAGGTGGCAACCGTCAACACACTCGATCAACGCTATATTTTGTGTGCCGATTATGATCGTGATATGGTTTTGATTGAAGCACTTCGAAAATATCGCGAAGAACATGAAACGGCCAACGTTATGATTTTTACAAATACGAAAAAGTAAGTGAAACGCACGCATTTTCACATTAATTTTTTTTTCACATTTTTCACAATCTTTTTTCTTTCATTTTCAAGATGTTGCCAGTTGTTGTCAATGACTTTAAATGCGGTTGGTATCGAAAATGTTTGCCTGCATGGATTTATGCGTCAACGTGAACGTGTTGCTGCATTGAATAAATTTAAATCGAATCATATTCGGACATTAATTGCAACCGATGTGGCAAGTCGTGGCCTTGATATATACAACGTGCAATTGATCATGAATCATCGTTTGCCAAAACAAGCCAATGAATATATTCATCGTGTTGGCCGGACGGCACGTGCTGGCCGAAGTGGTTTGGCCATTTCAATTTTTCGTTTTCCACGTGATTTGGAATTTTTATCGGACATTGAAACAGCGATTAATACAAAACTCACCGAACATCCAATCGATCAAAAAATGGTCGAACGCATTTTCATGCAAGTCAATGTTTCGCGACGCGAATGTGAAATGCAATTGGACAATAAAGATTTTGATGAACGTGCGCACAATTATCGACGCAAAAAGTGGATTGAAAATGGTGACGATCCGGATGAAATGGAAAACAAATGGAAAGTCGAACAAAAAGCCAAACAAAGACAACGAAAAAAGGCCGAAAGAGAGTATTTGGCGAAGAAAAAAGCGGAAAAAGAAGCTAAGGCATCGGCAAACAATGCATTGATCGATGAACGCTTTGCAAATATTGATAAAGAAAAATTCGAAAAAAAGAAAAAATCGAAAAACGTCGATACTAAGTCAAATGACAGTCAAAAGATAGCGAAAATTATGAAGAGTCCATTGAAAATTAGCACCAAATCGAAACAAATTGCAAAGACAAAACGAAAAACATAATTTGTAATTATTTACAGCATTTGGTAATGCTGAGTTTTTATTTGTTTCACTTACAGTAAAAAAAAAACAATATTTAAATAAAATTCCAATTTAGCACTTAGATCTTGTACGTTCTTCTGTTTTATTTCATCACCATTTTTAGCTGTCTCTGCTCCTCATTTAAGGCTGCCACCGTTTATACGGTTTCCTATGTTGATTTGTCCGATAAAATGTATAGTATTTTTGTCATATCATCATTCGTGTTTGGGGAAAATTCACATGAATCGAGAAAAAAATGTTATGGTGTTCAAGGCTGGCGTCTGTTGAATTTCTTTGCTATCATTCAATCACAGTATAATCGTTAGGGATTTGTCACCGTTCGTCCATGATGACTGTTTGCAATGCATCTTCTGGGTAAACCTCCAAGAGTACTTTGGCACCATCGTTAAAAGGATACGCTATGCTGCCATCAATTACTAAACCTGATGGTTACAAAAGATTAGGATACAAAAAAAGGATTATACACCTATATTATATACATATCGATCGACCATCAATTTTCATTAGAAGTTAATTCAAGAGATTATAGTACTTACTTGCATCAACACATCGAGACTTGATTTGTAAATTTTTGGCATATCCTTTTGACTCGAATCCCTTTGGCTTGGGCCAAACGCCAACACAAATTTGTTCGCGAATCGAATAGCACATTCTTGGATCACCTGACGAGAGAAATCGACAATTTACACAACATTTCCGAAATTAATTCAAATAAAATTGGTTTTATTCACTCACCTGGATTGAATTTAATGCGATCATTGTATTTTTCTGCAATATCTTCAGCGTTCAGATTGATGTTTTTGTCATTTTGTTTAATTAATTTCAACAGTTCTCGTACATTTTGTGTTGAAAGTCTATTAATACTGCAAATAGACGAATATTTCGAATGAATGAGTAAACCGAAATTGTGTTGATACTAAATGATGAAAATGAATACAAAATTCGAATCATTTTCGTTTACCTTGTGAGCCATGATGATGAACCGGTGCCAGTGCTGACACATAATCCAGAACTCTTTGTTTTATTGAGAACATTCTGATTGTCAATTTGTAAATGTAGATGAGAAACACGTGCCGATTGTGTTTCACCAATGAACACTTCATTCAATGCCAAATATGGTAAAATCCGTTTCACTTTGGCTCTGTATTTCGTCTGATCGGTTTCGTCTAACATTTCCGTTGGATATTCATTGAGTTCCATTGGTGTTGGTTCCAATTCTTGCAGATCAAATGATTTTGGTAAATTTCCATTCTGTCCAAGCATTGTTGTACGGATACGTGTTCGATATAGCCATTCAAAATCACCCTTTTAAAACAAATGGAAAGTCAATCTTTCAAGTGATTTCAACGAACCAAACAATCTTACTTGAATTAATTTTTGTACAGCTTCTTTTGGCTCATGAGAGTATCGTTTTGATAGCATCAAACGACCTTCCGACCGATCTGGATCCGAATTGAAACCGATTATCGGTTTGGATTGGCAAAATATTGGGCATGCACGGCTAGCAGTTAAAAGAAATGTACCGTCACCACCAATTGGTACTACAATATCAGCCCATTCAGTTTGTTTTGTTGACAATGTTACCCTGAAGAAAAAAAATCACAAAACAATATTTAGCCGTTCTCTTATTTTTTTAGCATGGATTTGAGGCATTTTTCTGATGCGCACTCAAAAATTCGTATCATTATTGTTTTAAGTTTTGAGTTTTGACCGTCATAAAAATGTAGTTTGAATCTCATTCTTACTATAAACAATACGCTAATGGTGTTGTTTTCATAATTTGTTGAATACTCTAATCTTATCAACTTGACTTATCTATTTATTGAGTAGCGTGCATTGAACGAAACGATGTGCCCACCATATCACATGTGTACAAAAACGTTATGTTTTTAATATTATATGTACATTTTGTGTGTGCATTTTGATTAATGCATTAATCCATCAAAAACACTTGAATATAGAAAGGTCAATGTAAATGGCTTTAAATGTCTACTTCAATTTTGCACTCGAAAAATATCAAAATCATTCTAACTCCTCGAATTCGGACGAAATTTGAGTGACGTTATCATCGGTTGTTTTTCATGTTTCCAAATGAAATTCGTGGAATTCCAATTGATTGATTTATTATTTATTATTATTAAAATTGGATATTTTGGCCATGTTTTCGACAAAGAGATATTTGGTTCATTTTCAATGGATATTATTACTTAATGCACTTTTTGTTTATGCGACTTGTTCCGGTTTGATTACGAAATATGCACACATGCAATAGATACGCACGTGATGCACTTGAAGCACACACTTGATAAGTTACAACCCCGATTTTCCCTAACACCCACACACACACAGTCGAGCGTCTGATAAAAAAATATAATCCACATTGAATGCAAAATTACCTGTTCACTAATTTAACATCAATACCACACTCTTCAAAGCAATTGGCCACCTTTTGCTCGAAATCCTTATGAACGCGATGATAATGTAACAGTAAATCATAGTCGGTGCCGCGATCACGAAGCAACTTTTCTAATTGGATCATGGTCAATTTTGGATTTTTATGCTGTTCAAACTCATATCGTGACAGTTTTGTAACGATTAAGGCTTTTTTGAATTGAAATTTTCGATTCGATTGGTCAAAGGTGGACGATCTTCGAATCAATGATGAGGTAATTTTTCGTTGCCGATATTTTAGCGGATGTGTGATACATATTGGTCCTGTATACAGAAAAGATAAGAGTTTATGATGTTGAAAAAAAATCCATACTTTTATTTTGGCTACAAAATACCCTTTATGCGTTTTCTTCTGAAAAATTTAAAATTCTAGGTTGAAAAAAGAACATTGCTCAATTCACATAAATCAACATAGGTTTAATTTGGACTGTTGTTCCTTCAATAGAAGTAATTTTCACTTTTAAAAAATCAAAATTTACCTGTTGTGAATTGACATAAAAACCGTGCCGGTTTAAACATCATTTTACATTTTTTTTTTCTTATCACTTTGCCGTTATTGGTTGCGTCGGGCCAAATTGTCTTATCAACCAATATTACTTCAATACGATGAAAAATTTCAAATGCACACGATTTGTTTTTGTGTTGTCAATATTTTTCGATAGATTTTTTTTTATCTCGTCCATTCGCCAATGTGTCGAGCTCATAAACTTTACGATTAATTTTTTTTTCAACGACAATTATACAATTCTATTGAATTGCCCGATATAATAGCAACGCATATATATTCAAGAAACTAAAAAAGATTAAATTAAAACGCAACCTCTCCTTCGTTATGTTTTGACAACTGAAGTCAGCATCAATCTGATTTGTACTGCATTTTGCAGAAGGCTTTGTTTTGCACGTACGCTAGCAGCTAGAAAACGAAAGAAAAAAAAAACAACAAATTTAGTACTTTATCACGGCTACTAGACCGACCGCGATACGACGAACGACAATGACACGCACGAGCTCGTTCCCGTCAACGTTTCATATGTCATTTTTAAACTGAACCAAAGTGCATGGAACGCACTCCTGCGTTGTCTTAGTAACGGCTTATTATCAATTATTCCGCTTACGGGCCACAACAAATGTTTGAAATCGATTTTTTGCTACGAAGCATATAAATAGCAAATTTAACATTTTAAAAAGGAACAAAGAAACAAACAATGAAAATGAGCGAAGAGCTAGCAAAGCATGGTTTATTTTTTGACTACTTATATAATTTGCGCGTTCTTGATCCAAATATAGCCAGTGAAACATCGGATTTAAAAGAAAAAAGTGGCGAATATGTAGAGAGTAAGAAAATAATTTTCATTTGGTTTCAAAACAGTTCAAGTTTTGTTGAATATTTTTACAATATAACGTTATGTGAGTAGAATTGCAGGAGTTCAGGAAGATAATCGACGAATTTATCGGCATCGCTGAAACAATTGTTGGTGATGTAGAACAAGAAAAAAGCCATGCAATTGCTGCACAAAACTTACTCAAGTCAATGGCAAAACAACGCGAAGCCGAACAACAAGACATTCAGGTAAAGACGAACTATATTAATTTGGAATGTTGGGTATTGTTTAAAATCGGCACCAAATTAAAAATGACAGTATTTTGATGAAAGGAACAATAATTTTATCGAAGAGAACTTACATCTTAATTATTTACCGATTGGTTTTTCAGAATGAAATCGTAGAGCGCGCCATGGAATTGGAACAATTGAAAGTTCAATTGCAATACCTACAGCGGATCGAAGCAAACCAACAGGAGTTGATCGAGAATTTTTTCGACAATCAGTAGAATTCCATACGTTTTTTAAAAATATTCAATGTATTTTGTTTTTTACTTTTTCTCTTGGTTGAAAATAAATGATGAATTATTTTATTTGTTTGTCTTCATTTTAGATTTCAAAAATGCACTTTGCATATTGTTTGTTCAGTGCGTTTGTGCTTACACTCGACTGATTCTTATTTCTCCAAATTCGCTTTCAATTTAATCAAAATCAAATTTAATGACATTTATTTTGTTTTTTTTTTCTTCCATACGAAATTGGTTTACCTTCTTTTTTTTCAATTTAATATTTAGTTGCTGTTTTTTTTAATTTCATTTTCTTTCTTCATCTTAATTAAATGTTATATGTATGTGTGTGTGTGGGTGTGTGTGTGTGTGTGTGATGCATTAGTGTTGTTTCATGCATCTGCGTCTTCTTCAGCGTCAGTCTTAATTCGTTTGGATGAGTCTGTGGTCAGTTCATCGTTGTTGCTGGTTGGTGAAGCTCGACGTTTCTTGGAGGTAATTAACTCATCGGCACAATTGTCTTCAATAATTTTCGCTGGAAATCGTTCCATTAGCAACGGTTGAAATTGAATTATAACAGCGGTCATGTTATCACATCCAGTACCATCGCCACATGTATTTGGTGCTAAGCACGTTGTGAACAACTGCGAAAGATAACGATTAGAAAATAGGTTGTGTATGGTGTTTCAAAATGATCGATTAATACTTACTTCCTCGCAAATGGCTGACATTTTCGTTTCGCCCTTTTGTATTCGAGTACGTACAAAATCAACCACCTCATCACTAGATAATGAATTCCAGATTCCGTCGCATGCCAACACCATAAATTCATCTTTTGGACTCAACGTTGCACGTTTCACGTCTGGCAATGCTGATATCATTTGCTCTTCGGCTTTCAGATCTTCGTTCTAAAGCAATAAAAAAAAATTGAGTTTTATTTCAAACATTAAATTTGATTGGATAAAAATATGATGTACCGTTTTATAAGCATGATCACCGATTGCTCGTGATAAATTCAAACCACCATTAACACGCCCATCCTTTGTAACACGTCCGCCCGCCTTACGAATTCGCTCCAATTCTTCGGTATCTTCTGGTTTATGATCGAAACTCATATCCATTGCCTTACCATCGCGACAAACCACACAACGCGAATCACCAGCGTTTGCAACATACAATATATTTTCATGTAATAATGCAACAACGGCAGTACAACCAGATGATGAACCAGGACCTACCACATCGCAACAGATCGACGATTATAGTTATTTTCTCTTTTTTCATTAGAATGTAAAAAAAAATGGAGTCTATACCTTCAATCATGCCATTCAAAAACTTATCATCTTCTTCGTATTCTTCACGATCCTCATCTGATTCTTCGTCTTCGGTATCAGCTTCATCTTCATCCTTCAAACAAACAACAAACAAAATATCGATTTCAAATGTGAATTCTAAAAATGAAAAGGTAATTTTATTATTGAGCATACCTCCTCATCCACATCATCCTCTTCTTCCTCTTGGTCTGATTCATCGGAATCTTCGTCCTATGAAAAAAAAAATGAAGATAAAAATAAAAAACACGGTAAGTACGATGTAAAAACTGAAATAAAATTCAAATTACCAATGAACTTGTTGAAGACGACTCTTTTTGATTCTTGCTCTCTTCATCTGAAAACACAATGCAAATACAAAATGATTAGCCCTTGTGATCGTTGGAGTAAAAAAAATTGTTGATTCACCCCGCAACGGAGTTAGTTGCGAGCAAAGACCGCAGCCAACTTACTAAGTTTCAACCGCCAGTGCTATTCATTATAGAATAGCAGTTACGATTGCACGTTTCAGTGGCATCGCGGTGGGTAGCTCACCTAAACTAAAATCAATATATACCAAACTCGCGAATTATAATTTTGCAAAAGTGAAAAATGTTTCATTAGTATCTGTACGACACAATGGATATAGTGACTCTCGTAAATATTCGAGCTTTCGCTATCATACAAGCATGAACATAATCAGCGTAAAAAATATACAGTCGCTTTTGAACTCATGTGTAAATTGATGTTTTTTTATGAGAATGATATCATTCTTTTTAAAGTTTATCCTTGATTTCTCTGCTGTGCAGCGTCTATACATGGATATTTACATGCATTCGGATATGTACGGTACATATTATTTGGTAGAAAGAAATAAAAAAAAATCAATCAAACCAAGGCAAACAAAATTCGACATTCAAAACGCAAAAAGAGATTGAAGCTCTCAGTGAAAATAAATTCGAAGTAAAAATGATCAAAATACAAATGTGAAGAACAGAAGAAGTTTCTTCGTCGATGTTGTTGTCGTCTTCGTCTTCAGCCATTGTTAGTTCAGTTAGTTCAATTATTGTTGGCAATAACATAATTAAAGACGAACCAATTATGGGATGTTAATTTTGATACCGTGAAATTTGTTTTTATTTCGATTTCAGTCGCATTTAATTTATTTTTTATACGATTAGGCAAGTGTGTTTATGTCAGCCAATAGGCAAAATATCACTGTTGCATCGACCGAATTAAGAAGCAAAAAGGGTGTAAATTTCTTGCGTACGGCTGTTGGCCAAAGAAAATGTTATTTTTATATGCTTACTCTGAGAAAATACAAATGGGAAAATGCAAAAACGTGTTCAGCAACAATGAAATATTAATATTTTAAAATATTTACCGGTTGATTTATTTGCATTTGACGAACTGTCTGGACTGTTACAAGAGTTTCGCTCGTTTGGTTCTGAGCTCGACGCACCTTCGGTGCTTGATGGACCATTGTCCGATGGACCATTCGTTACACTGGAATCAGAAAAAAGGAGATTTACAATAGTTACTCTAATAAAAGCTGCATACTTGATGCGTTTACCTTTTGGTAGTATCTGATTTCTTGTCAACAGTAGCGCTTGAACTTGAAACTGCTTCTTCCTCTGAACTCTGTACCGAAGCAACAAACAATAGTATAAATTATATCTTTATTTTCTCAATTCATACCAAATCTATTCATTATTTCTCACAATTAAAATATTAATTCATCAAATACTTACATCAAGTTTTTTTGGTGCAATGCTTTTGGTTGCATCAGATGCTGAAGAGCATTCACCATTTTCGGTGGTCGCACCACTGCTACCGCCAGCGCTGCTGCTACCCCCATCACTGGCGGCACCACTACTGCTGCTACCATTACGCCGGCCACGCAAGAATGGTGACATCGGTTTTGATGTGCCCGACGATTCACCGGCTTTTACTTTTGCCAATGGATCTTTTATTTTTTCCAATAATTCGTTTAAAGGCATATGGCCTTCGTTATACAATTCACGGATATTTTCTTCATCTTCATCGGCATCATCATCTGTGTCCGTTTCATCGACTTTGTCATCGGGTATAAGTTTTTTCAATTCTTCTATAACATCTTCATTGACTAGTGTTGCATCGAAACCAATGAATGCATCTTTTAGCGCTTGTTCAAATTCACCTTTTTTATATGCAGCAACATTTTTTAAAAAATCGGGCAACTTCTGTGAACAATACAACGCAACTTCGGATCCACCATGACCATCAAATACCGCAAATAATGATGTGTTTGTATCAAAATTCAACGCACAAATGTGAGCGTCCTGTGTGTATATGTGTGCGCGTAAGCAACAAATAAAAATATGTATATATATTACAATTGGTTACATGAATAACGGTCAGCAACAATGAAAGAGAGAATACACACAATTTTATGAATGTATCAATGAAATACATCTACATGATTTTGTCTGTAGTATTAATTTTCGATTTGCAAATGAAACGAAAGAGTGTGAGTGTGTGTGTGTGAGAGAGAGAGAAGTGAAATGCAAGCATATTGAAGAAAAATGTACAATTACTGTGTAGAAAATATTGTCCAAATAGGGGAATAAATGAAGCAAAATAAAATTATTGTTACGATGAAAAAACCGGCGTCATTGCGCGTATACGCAATCTTGAATTGCACACGTTGTTAGTGCAAGCACGACAACGTGGTTGTGCGAATACAGAACACGCCAGACATTTATTCCAGTAAACCAATGTGCTTTCATATCTCTCTGTCTCTGTCTCTCGCTCTTACGCATACTTTTGAAATTTTATGCATGCCCGCTTACCTCTTGGGACATTCGCCAGCCTTGCATTTGGCTCGCACCGCATGATAAATATTCGTTAGCCTCATCAGTAGACTCTTTATCAGTAAGTGGTGCCGATAAATATGCACCCATTGTGTCTGATAAATGCTGCTTTTAGTACTTAACACCGAAATAAAAATAAAATATATGAATGAATGAAAGAACGAAAGTAATCGTGAATTCTTTTGTATTCCTCACTTAAAAGAAACGAACAAAAAACCAACAACTTTTTTTAAACGAATCCGGCTACATGCAATCAATATTCACGTTTCTTTGATATTTTAGTGTAATTTACACGAACGAAAAAAAAAAAAAATGCCGAAAAAAATGCACACACAATTTATTGATTTGTTTGCATGTATATATGATTTGACGTTGAATCTCTCGTTATTCACGAATTTTACTAATTATTTGTTGAAAAGCACACTTAATTCAAATGCGAATCGATTGAACTGGAATGTATGCTAGTTGCTTTGATTGTTTTTTTCTCTTTTGCACAATTTTTTTGTTCGTATGTATTCTATTCTCACTTGGATTGTCTTACTGTATACTATTTTTCGGCGCCAGAATTTTTTTTCTTTTTTTGCATTCGCAAACATAAATACATACAACACTTTTTATACTGTCTACACATCTACAATATCTTAATATTTTATTTTGCAAAAAAATTCGATCTTTTTAATTTCAATTTAATTCAACAGTGGTTTTTTTATGATTCGTGTGTATGTATTCTCACTTAAGTTTTCGTTTCAATTGCAATGTCTCGTGTCACATTACAAATTCTATATTATATTGATTTTTTTGTCTTTCGCTATTTTCTGTGACCAATTTTCGTACGCTGTGTCGGCAAAATAAAATTTCATGGGTAAATTTTATCGAATGAAATGTGTGTTTGGTAAGTATGCTAAAAAAACTTTATATTGAATAATTTCTCTATGGTTAAACGTACACCGTTGATGTTATTTGTTTCACTCGTTTCAATTTCACTTTTGATTTCAACTACGTTTTCATTGAATTGATTGCTATGTATTTCTTGTTAGCACACGAGTTTTTCCCGACTCAATTTTGCTGCTATGAAATTGAGGTTGTTTCTTTCTTCTTTTTTCTCTCTCTCTCGGTTAGTTTATGTCCGCCATGCACAATTTTATTCGTAAAACTTTAAACATGCCTACTTGTTACAAGCCGATTTGTGACGATTACGAAAAAGATGGACAAAAATGAATAAGAAGAGAGAAAAAAAACCGAAGAAGAAGAAGAATTCACTATTTAGTGACTGGGTTATAGCAAAAAAAAAAATCGCACACATACCAAAAAGGCGCGCAAGAAGTATATACACATCACCCGGAGAGTTGTCGGCGAACAGCAACAGTAATGTAGAGATAAAGCGAGAGAAAGAGGGAGAGGGCAAGAAAAACCGATGCGTGATTCACATACACGAAATCAACGAGCGCAAAAAACGAGGGAAACGAAGCAAAGGCTTAGGAAATGGCAAGGTATACACGCATACATACAATTGCGAATTTTTGTTGTTTTTTTTTTTTGCACAAGTTGAGTTGCGGTTTTAAGTTGTAAACGATTGCTTTCATTGAACATGATGGGCGCGTGCTTTAGCATCTATATCAACATAATAATTGTAAATTTCCATTGATGAAGAAAAACAGCAACGATTCCAACTTTTTGCCAAGATTTAAAAAAAAAGTTTTTCCGAACAAGATCAATCCAATTGATGATGACATCAATTCTAATTGAAGAGTTGATTGATTTGAATTAGAAAGACGAAAAGCATTATTCTATGTTTGCAAAAACCGCACAACGAACCGCTTGTTGTCCATGTCGAATGTCATTATCATTCGTGACTCGACAATCACGTTGTTTGTTACGATTCAAGTGCAGTCAGCACAGTATCGGACCAGTTTCGATACAAAATACATTTATACTTCAAACTGGACAACCTTTTATGTCACTTGTGTTCAGTTTTTAATTATTGCATGATGTTATATCAAAGTAAAATGAATTGGAATGTGAAATTATATGCTTTTGATATAAGTATGGTACTTTAGATTTGAAAATTGAATTTTATTCTAAAAAAGAACGTTCATAAGATCCATTGTTTTTTTTGTCTGATTTTCTCGATAAATAAATCAATGAATAAATTCAAAACACTTTATTGGACATTGTATATTGAGAAATAAATTCAATCAGATCAAAACCATTACAAATTGGAATTTCCGAAACCAATAAGTACAGCATTACAAAGTACAAATGCCGATACACTAAATTCCCATTGACGTTCCTACTTAACTGTAGTTTGACAGAATGATTTTGTACATTGTCTATATGCCCAATTTGAATATCGCGTATCGTGTATGTGTTAAGTTGAGTTGTGTATGCATACCAACAAAGTTTCTGATATAAACTGACCCAAACCTCAATACCAATGTAAACACTCACAATCTCGTAGTCAGCAGCCAATTTGAACGCACTCACACACACATTTGGTCAATACACGCATTTACATTGGAACGTCCTAACACATGCACACATACACACGTATTGAAAATATGTGAGGAACACAGAGAGCGAGCACAAGTTGCTGAAATGAGAAGGTGTCGACATTTTAACAATATATAGTGACAGTAAAGTCAGCATATGAATATATACATATATATTTTTCATTTTATAAAAAAGTTTTAAATTATTTTTCCGATAAATGGTGAGTTTGTGCAATGAAAATTCGTTTTGAATGTTCGGTAAATGTGAATTTTGAATATCGGTGAATGCAAGAAAAAAGAATCAATTGAAGAAAAATGCATTGAATTGAATGTGAATCTGTGCGATCGAATGAATGTGTGATCATAATAAATCGAAAATTGCCTTGATGTGTTTAGTGTGTTTATATATATATGAAGATATACATATTGTGTGTGAAGAATGAAAGAGCATGTATCTTCGTCTCTGAATTACTTCAAATGAAAATGTACCAAACAAGAAAATGTTCTGTATCCTAGGTGCAAGAGAAGAAAAAAAAATCAATCAATGTGGATATAAAATTTGCAGATCACTGCATCCGATCGCTATGAATTTTTTTGTGTGTTAAATGCTTTCAGTATTGCAATGCAAAACATTGGATAAGTTAGAGTAAATATTGAAAACATTAAGTGATGACTTTGATTTGCTTAAAATTCATTGCAAATGCAAACGAAATAAAAGGGATAAAAATTTTTTTCGTAGTGAACAATTTATATTCATACATTCAAGCGGAGCATTGAGAGCTCTATTCGGATTGAAAAGAAGAAAAAAAATTTTTTTTTGTTCACAAATACAAGCGTAAAAAATCGTCGCGTGTACATACATTGCATACACACGCTACCAATCACGACTACACAGATGCACGTATACACAATACATTGACCATTGAATTTATGCATTGGAATGTTGAATCGGTTCTTGATTTTCATGAACGGATCGAATCAATGGCAGCAGCAGCCACAGCACCACAGAAATAGTATGTAGAAAGACGGGAGTGAAAAAAAACACACAACAACAACAACAACAACGTTAATAGTAGCAACAAAGGAGATATTATATTCTACTAATGCCAGAGAGTATATTGCCAATCAAATATGAAAAAATCAACATATGTACACTCACATATACATCTGCTCATGTTTCGATTTGTGTGCTGCTACTGCTAGATATAGTATTATTGAAAACCGAAACTGGTAAAAAGGGAGAGAGAGAAAGATACACAAATATAAACAAATTCAATTGAAATGAATGTGTCCAAGAATTGAGAAAAATTGGATGCACATCTCTCACTATCGCCTCGGCAATAGTATTTTTTTCTTTTTTTTCATTTCTTTTATTCACCTGATCCATCCAAAGTGCATATCGATTTTTTTTTTGCGTCAATTCCAATCAAAACAATATCGAATGTCAAGAAAATGTTTCATTGTTTTTCTTGAGATCGATATGCCGAACAAAATGAAAAAAACTCGATCGATGTGAGAAAAAAACATATCGGACCTTTAAACTCACCGAATAGCAGTTTAAAATGACTCGAAAAGAATGTGTCAAAGAATCAGATGAGCAAGATAATTTGTTGCACTTGAACGGTGACCATATCATTAAACGGACAAAACATAGAGAGTAATAGAGCAGTTCATGTGTATTATTCATATTTTCGCTCTCCTTTTCTCTACTGGTGCAATGTGCGTGTATATTCTCCTTTTTCTACGCTCTTACGCGACATGTATGCGTACGCGAAATATTTGTGCGATGTGTGAACATTTAAATATATATACATTTTATACATCACATTTTTTTTTCTACATTTGCATGCTTCATCACATTTTTTGTTTGTTTCTTTTTGATATGTGCACAAAATTCTATAAAGAATTTTTTTTTTGTTTTGTTTTTGTTCAGACAAAGAGCCTGAAGACGATCGAGAATAAGACGGACGACGACAACAAAAGAAAGAGAAAATGTACGTCAAAATCACCAGCAACACCAAAGTAAATGACAAAAAAATAAATAAATGAATCCTAATAAAAAAAAATCGGAGAATTTTACAATCGCAGAGGTGTAATCGCACGGAAATACAACGATTTCGCACACACCAAATAGACTAAATAACAAAAAGACAAAACGAAACGGAACGTGAATAATTTTGTGATCTATATTCACAGTGTGAATATTGTTTAGTGAATACGTGAAACCAATACAATAATAATACCATTGAGAAAAAGAGATAAAGAGAGAAAGAGAGAAAAAACAACAAATTTGCAATCTATTCAAGTGTCAAATCAAAATGCCATTTGTAAATGATGCGATCGACGTCACATTTTCTCAAATAAAATGACATGAAGACAATTTTATGACCAATCAATGTTATTTCCATAACAAATAAATATGAATTTAAAATAGCCAACCATAGGTTGTGCAAACATAAATTGTGTGCCTTAATATTGCCTTTAGAAATGATAGTCTTCTATTAGCAAAATTTTCATGTGAAAGATTCAAAATAAAAAGAAAAGAAGAAGAAAAAGTGTGCCTTGCCCGTTTTTGATAACGAAAATCCTGTCCATATCAACCGTATCAGTGAAATTTTGAGTTAATGGAATTTGTGTGTGTTTTATTTTCGTGTATGCCAATGCATAAATAAATGTGAGTTTTTTATGGGCCGCCAAATAGTGTTCAATTATTGAAAGAAAAATACGTATAACCTTGCAAATGTAATAAATCGTGAACGAAGTGAAATAAATGCATTCATTTTTTCGTGTTTCACAATCGCTCTGAAATGTGGATATAATACGCAAATCCATAAAACAATTCGGGTGCGGGCAACACAAGCACACGAGATCGAGTATGATCACCACCTCTGCCGTCACCGAAGCCACTGCCAACAATATTTGTGTGTCTGTGTTTGCTTAAATGTGAGTGATTCGTGTGGAGAACGAGAGAGATAGAACGAAAGAGAGAATATTTCGAATGCATGTGGCATTTTTAACATCGGCGAATCAATCATCGATCTATCGCGATTATTGTGATATGACAAACCGAAACATTAACAATGAATCAAACAGGCGGAAAAACGCCGTCTACACCAAGGCTCTCGGAATACGCGACAAATGCCTTGGAAACAATTCGCAAGGAATTACGAATGTTTTCAATCAGCGATGTGCAAAATGCATCCAATGCAACAAACGGCCAACAAATCCCAACGCATCAATCAAAAGTCGAATGCGATCTAAACCTCTTATTAGCACAATTAATGAATTCCGGCTTTACGGAAGAGCAAGCAATCACTTTTATCAAAACTAATGGTCGCAGCGATGGTTTAGAAAATAATAAACAAGTGCAACTACAGCAATGCAATCAACGATTACCAGGTGATTTCAAAGTTTATTTTAAACAGCCAAATTGAAAGTCAAATAAAAGCTAAGATATGTTAACTAAAAAACGATTTATATTTCATAATTTAATTTGGGTTTTCTTTTGTTCTTCTGTTTGTTTTTTTGGCTTTTGTTTGAAATCAATTTTAGTTTCAGCTCCAGCTCAACCACCAAAATTATTTCGAAAGCCGAGCATCGAACGCGAAATACCGCAATTTCCGCGAGGTAGTCCAGCCCTTGATTCGGGCGCCGGTAGTTCACGATCAAATTCAACAACGGATTCAGCAACAATTTACGACGCCAAACCCATTGAATATTGCAAGCAAATCGATTACTGCAAACCAATAGAATTTTGTAAACATGTGCCACTACAACAATGCAGTAATCAACGATTACCAGGTAAAAAATAAATGCATTCGATCGATAATTGGGTTTTGACACCTTTGCATCAAGCATTTGAAATGAATTTCAATTCAATCATTGTAATCATTTTTTTTTCGTCTATTTTATGTTCGAACAGTAATTCCAGCTCGTGGTACATCACCGGTTGTGCCGCAAAATGGAACAGATAAATGTCATTTAATGAAAATGCCTCGTAAACCTCACAATTCAGTCGAAAATCCACTTGCATGGCGTTTTTCTCCAGCATCCGATCAACAAGATCAAAATAGTAACGTACCACCACCACCATATCCAATTATTGCAACAGGTGTCACAAACTATTCACCCTCGATTCCAAATCGACAAAGTCCAACTAGTACAACAGATGGTAATTGAACAACGTTTTGTTTTTGTTTTGGCTATTATGAGCTATGATTTTGAAATATTTGTGTCATTTTCAAAATAAATTAATCATTTCGTTTCGTTTTCATCATCATTTAATTAGATTATCGCAAGTCACCGTCATCGGGCATCTATTCAGCAACATCGGCGGGATCACCAAGTCCAGTACCACCATCAAATTCAATGTCACCTCATCCGATATCTAGATCATCGAATGTATGCCAAATTGGTTCATGGCAACGTAAAACACATTCGCCAATCATAATGCAGTCAGTTAAGTCGACACAAGTGCAAAAACCAATCCTACAAACAGCCATTGCACCTCAAGTACCAACTACACTGTAAGTCATTTAACGTGCATTAAGACATTTTATTATTTGAAGAGAATAAATAAATGAAAACTTGTCATTGTTAAAGCACACCGTCGACGACAACCGCATTGCCATCATATGCATCGTCCATTCAACCTCATGTAACGAATAGCGTGACAACGAATACAAAACATCAAAATAATACACCACCAACAACGCCGCCAGTATTGAATTCCATACCGCCAGACATAGCACCGAAAAATAGCCAGAAAACACCACCGGTATGTGTTTGCGTGCAAACCAGTCGTTTAAAATAAAATCAAACAAAATAAATAATACTCACTTTGTCAAATTACAGATAAATGCAGTGCATCCATCGTCACCAGCGAATAATTTTGTACCTGTGAGTGAACCGCCATCGTATGCGAGCTCAATGGCCTACAAAGCTGCCGCAAAAACTCACATGGGTATGATTCTTATCTTTTTAAATATTTTGAACCATTGCGATTAGTTTAAACTGTCTTCATCTTTGGCTTACAACTGAAATGTTTTTCAATTATAAAATGAATAGCGTTGCCACCGCCGCCGCCATATAGCAACAATAATAATCGAGATATGTCTAGTTCGCCGGAAATAATAAACAATAATAATTTATCAATAACCCCGCCATTACCGCCAACATCATCGTCATCGGTCAAAAGTAATAAAAATAATAATGCAAAAACGACCATAGCAAATAGTACGATGACGACGACGACCGCCACAAAGAAATTAAATAAACAACCGGCAGCACCACCGCCCGGATCAACGGTAGCGGCGAAAAATAGCAAAAACTCTGCATCGACACCAACATCAACGTCAACATCAACGACGACAACAACAACGGAAGGATGTGAAAAGATAAAGCATGAATCACCAATTCCCGAACGAAAACTAGTCCCAAAAGATCAAGAAGAAGTGAAGGAAGGCCGAATCAAGCACTATTCACCGCAAGCGTTTAAATTTTTTATGGAACAACATGTTGAGAATGTGCTCAAAGCATGTAAACAACGAATGTTCCGAAAAAATCAATTAGAAAAAGAAATGGGCCGCATTAATTTATCGGAAGAGGCACAAATTCAAATGCGTCGAATGTTAAATCAAAAAGAATCAAACTATCTTCGATTGAAACGGGCCAAAATGGAAAAGTCCATGTTCACAAAAATCAAAACAATTGGCGTTGGTGCATTCGGCGAAGTGGCATTAGTACAGAAAATTGATACGCCAACCATGTATTATGCCATGAAAACATTGAAAAAGGTCGACGTCTTGAAACGTAATCAAGTGGCGCATGTGAAAGCTGAACGCGATATTTTAGCCGAAGCCGATAACGAATGGGTCGTTAAATTGTATTATAGCTTTCAAGATCGTGACAATTTATATTTCGTGATGGATTATATTCCGGGTAAGAAAATGATTTTCATCGACATTCGTTTATTCGATATTTTCTTTTCATTACTCACTTACAGGCGGTGATTTAATGTCGCTGCTCATTAAATTGGGCATATTCAGTGAACCGCTTGCTCGATTTTACATTGCCGAACTTACGGTGGCCGTTGAAAGTGTTCATAAAATGGGATTCATTCATCGCGACATCAAACCGGACAATATTTTAATCGATCGAGATGGTCACATTAAACTCACCGATTTTGGATTATGTACGGGTTTTCGTTGGACACACGATTCAAAATATTATCAAAAAGCCGGTTTGTAATCTATATTTTTTTGTAACCTAAAATTGGAGATTATTCATTCTAAATTTTACTCAATTGTTCTTTTATTTAGGCGAACATGCGCGACAAGATTCAATGGAACCATGGGACGATGCAAATGACGGTGTAAAACCAGCTGTTCTAGAACGGCGGCGTCAACGTGAACATCAACGATGCCTTGTAAGTATGCAAATAATTTTGACCAGGTTAAACTCTGTTACAGAGATTTTGGTATGAAACGTCACAGCATCATGAACATTTTTCTTTTGTTTCTGTCTAATCCAGGCGCATTCGCTAGTCGGTACACCAAATTATATAGCGCCCGAAGTATTAGCCCGCAGTGGATACACACAATTGTGCGATTGGTGGAGTGTGGGTGTTATTCTGTATGAAATGCTTGTTGGTCAGCCACCGTTTTTAGCGAACACAGCTGTAGAAACTCAACAAAAGGTAAGTTTTATTCAAACGAACTACAATTTATTGATTGCACACGAAAAACTAGTGCGTATGAACTAAAAAAATCGATTTGTTTTTGTTGCATACACAGGTCATAAATTGGGAGCAATCGTTGCATATACCGCCCGAGGCGAAATTGTCGCAAGAAGCAAGTGATTTAATTTTACGTTTATGTTCATCGGCCGACCGTCGCTTAGGCAAAAATGCCGACGAAGTAAAAGCGCATGGATTTTTCCGTGCCATAAATTTTGGTACCGATTTACGTCAGCAAAAAGCACCGTACATACCAAAAATTGAACATCCAACCGATACATCAAACTTTGACGAAGTCGATCCGGAGCGCATACAAAATTCAGATCAATTTGATGCATTCAGCAACGGTACGGCAATATCGTTTCATGGCTTTTATGGTTTCACATATCGTCGATTTTTTACGGACGATAAAAGCAATCAGGAATGCAATGATCAAGACGGACCCGTCTATGTTTGATTATTACATATACATTTCTCAAAAAAATTTTGTTGCTCCAAATGTGTATATTCTGGATGAAAATAGAATGCGACGATTCGACCGAGAACTGTTAACTTTAAAAACAAATAAATAGCAATATGTTGAGAACTTTCAAAAAGACAAATACTCAAAAATTGAACAAGAAATGGACAAATTGCATTGTTGCCGCACTCCCTCGAAAAGTGAAGGATTAAAGAGAAGAAAAAAAATGTTGGTGCTTAACATTATAAATTAACAAAAAGGGAAACATGAAGAGAGGGAGATAGAACTGGAAGAATATCAAAATGCAAGCAGAAAAAACTTTAAATGAAAGTAATCGTTGAAACGTCTTTTTTTCGTTTCACTTAACAATTTATTAAATAAAGTAGTGTGGAACTTGGCATACACACGCACCACGTCAATCATATCACGTCAGAGACACGAGAAGGAGATGCAGAAATCGTTAAATAAATGAGTGCCCTCCTGTGCGAGATAGTATTTTGAATAAATCGTATAACGGCCAATTGTAAAATCCATCAAAATAAATTCAAAAAAAAAGAACGTTGCGTTGATAACCAACAACATAATTCAAATACTCTCGTTTGGGCTTGCTTATAGAACTATAGTTAAAAAGCGAAAGAAGATAAATTAATCATTTAAATGAAATGAAAAAATAAATAAATAGAAATCAATACAAATAATATTTAAGATTTTTGATAGGTAATTTTTAAATAATTACAAAAAAGAAAGAAAATATTATTAATAAAATAAACACAGTGTGTCTTCAATGTGCGATTTATCACATAAAAATAATGTGTATATTCTACTTTTAGAGAGAGAGAGAGAATGAAGGAAAACGACAAATCAAAGCAAACAATTATGAAAATAAAATAGAAAAAGATGGATATACAAGAGAGCTAATAATGAACATATAAATAGAATGAACGAAAGAAAAATCTAAAAAGAAAAAAAAATCTCTGGTTTCGCCAAATTAGCTTTAACCAATCAAATTCAATTGAAATCGAATAAACGAAACAGCAAACAAAAATGCCGTGATATATCAAGCATAAAGCTTCTCAAATTATCGAGAGTGATTCATTTCGTTTATTCGTTTATTCGTCTCTTTCGTAAATTAGTAAACTTCAACCGCGAGCCACATAATGACAGTTAAGATGAGGTTCAATCGCTAAAAATTCAACAGGTTTCTCTCATAACTCAACAAAAGTCGTGTAATATTGATAAAAAATGGCCGGCAAAAAAAATCAAGTGATACATTTTATACAAATAATTTTTTTTCGAAGCCGAAAATGAAAAAGGAAGCAACGCGTAAATAAAAGAAAATGCAAAGACAATAGCACGATATTTGTTTTTTTTTTTGGAAAAAAACGTACACTCCTCAAAAAGAAAATGCAACTCACGCACATAGAAACACACACGCGTACATACATACATACACTCATAAAAGCACTCACAAACAAAATCTTCAATTAAAAGTAAAAAAAAATTCCAGCAGGCTGGAACACACACACACATCTTCATACAGTATAGAATAAATTAGATTGAATTTAGTATCCCTTTTGGTTCAACTATTGTTTTCTCAATATATTCGATGATTTTTGAACGCAAACAAAACAAATTCGGCTTAAATAGTTTTTTTTTTATTCAAATGAGAAAAAAAATGAAAATAATAAATTACAATTTGATGTTATAAAGCAAAATGTTTCCGGTTTTGTTCGAAACATTTTGAAATGCGAGTACCCAAAATCTATGTTATTTACAAACAAGTCAGAAAAATAGCAACAAACGATTATTTATTTTGCAATTATTTAACAAAGCGCGGTATACACAATTGCACACACAATGATGTTTAATATGGTGTTGTGTAAGAGAAAATATGATATATATTTTTTTTGCAGTTGAAAAATGTTAAGAAATGCTAAAAAAAGAGAGAAAAAAACAAACAACAATTTGACAGCATATCAGATGAGAGAAATAAACAAACAGACATCCATGTGGTGCTTAACAATTTTATTAGTAAGTTCGGAAATGGTATGTTATTAAAAAGTTTTTAGTTGAACGGCGTGATATCCAGTAAGATTAATTTATACTAAGATTTTAACTTTAAACAAGTAAACAAAGAGAGCCAGCTTGATGCATACGAAGCATATTTTATACAGAAAGATGACAATTCATTGAACCAAGACAGAGGCAATATTGAGTCTTTTCTCTCATATAATGTACAATTAACCAATATGATATGACTTTATTGTTGTTGCCACGTGTTTTTTTTTTAATCACCGTTATTTCCTGTGAGTGTTTTGTGTAAAGAGCTATGTACTAACCAATGTATACACCAACGTTTCAGTCGTGATGCTGATGATGGGACGCACAGTTGTCTCGAAATGCATTCAAGTAAGAAAATTTAATTTTCGTCAAATTCAATTTTCGACTCTTTGTGATATCAATTTAAAGTTAAAATTTTAGTATAAATTAATGGTACGTTATTCACACACTTTTCGTTCGTTTGCTATGCGTAAGTGATAAGGCATGGTGAAAAAATTGTATTCAACAAAGTTATTACAATATTGCTAAAAACAATTCTCGTTCATCTGCTACGCACATTTTACAGACAATTAATGTGTAACATTCGTTTTTTTTTTTTTTTGAATCCATTAATATATATTATTATTTAATTATTTATTAGCATCAAAAAATCGTATTTGAATTTTAATATTGTTTACGTAAAAAAATTGTGCAAAAACATTCAATCCACTCTGATGACGAAATTTAACATGGTTCTTCTTAAAAAGAATACGAAAAACTGCACCTCATCTAATATGTTGCAAATTGTATGAGAAAAAATGTGCGAGGAAACGTTTTTCAATTCCGCACATTTGAATCGTCAACATCATATGTTGAATTTGCTTCTGTTCTCCTCTCACTTTCATATTTTGTGTTATTAAAGAAGAAAAACGAAGAAGATTTTTTACGTGTTCATTTTTTTTCTCGTATCGGTCATAAAAAAATGTGTACAACAAAATATGTAAATACAGCTATAAACTAAACATATTTATCGAATTGAATAAATAAGAGAACAGCAGCAAAAATAAAATGCATAAAGAGCAATCAAACAATTGTAGAAAAAATGCAAAGAATTTTTGTTTTGTTGTTAAAATAAAACACAAATTGACACCCGCATTCACTGAAATACGGAAATAGCTTGTATGTGTGGATATAAATTAAATGAAAATCAACAACAAAAAATTGTCAGACAGAAAATGTTTTGAAAGAAATAATTGAACTTGCACACATACACTTTTATGCCACCCTTCCTTTCACCCTATATCTCCTTCCCCTATATCCCCCTCCCCCCATTTATTCTATAACATTATTGTCTATTAAATTTATAACAATATTTAGTAATTTTATTATTTTTTTTAAATAACTGAATTTGATTTAAAATATTTTAGCCCGAATTTTCGATTTTAAGTTAAGTAAAAAAAAAACTTTTATTGTATTTTGCAACAACAGACACAAAAAAAAATCGATGCCTTGTATGGTGAAAAAAGTATAAAAACAATTGCGTTTGATTTGTCCGTAAATATGAATATTCGAGCAGATGGAAAACGTGAAGAGAGCGACGAAATGAAATGAAAAGCAATCAAAAGAATTACGTAAACAAATATATTGGTAACTTTGATTGGAATAAATTATACTTGTTTTTTCTCTACCCCACCCCAACCCCCTTGTAGTCGCCGTAATTATCATGCCGTAAACAGGATCGTTGGCGCTATGTTTTATGTGTTGCGCCATCGATAATAATTTATTTGCATTTGATTGGAAGAAAAATCATGCAATAAATACAACCAATAGTGGTGCATGCAACAAAAACCAATGGGAACGAAAAAAAAATTGAAATGTAAGAGACACGAGATTATGGGTAAGAAATTTGAGACGAAAAAAGCAAGATCGATAGGAAAATTTACATCTAAATAGCGTTATGTTGTGTTGAGTGACATCAAATTTTGTGTGGTTGAATTTATTCATGCAAATTTCCACTTTGTAACATTTTTTTAGCGCTTATAGTGCCAGTACAGTGCAAAGGGCAGAAGAATAATGATTGGATCCCTGATATGAATGTATGTGCAAATAAAAAATAAGAACAACTAATGTATGTTAAAGAGCATCGCAGATTATGCAAAGGAAGACGAACAGGCGTTCATTCGACTACAAGAAGCACACAATCGATGACGATTACAATGACGACGAACAAAAAAATACACATCGACAATGATTATATATTGACAGTGCCAACAGAAAGCTAGTATATATGCGCCAATTTTTGTTTTTGTTTCTCTTTGTTTCATTCTCTAGTCGCTCGTTGTCGCCTGCAATCTTTATGCAATGTTCAACAATGGTGATGTGTGGTGAATGGAAATAAATGGAAAATTTGCTCTGCGGCAAATCAAGGGGCGCATTTGTAGTGTATTTTGAACGAGCACATATTCATTCAATACAATGCCATACGAAAAACAGTTCAGCAACAGCTATTGTCTATTTATTGCATTATTATGTTATGTTATCATTTTGTTCACATTCTCTCTCTCTCTCTCTCTCTCTCTCTCTCTCTCTCTTAACCACACTTTTACGAACCAAATGAGAAAAAGAAACAGCATCTTCATTTTGATATTCATCATGATGTCAAAATCAACATTCAATGACGGCACAGATATGGAAGCAAGCATGATCAAATACAATTTTATGCTACATTTTATAAACATTATCGATATTGATCCTCTTTTCCAATTTTTATTCGTTTACCAAAAAAACGTTCGGCACAAAAACAATAACAAAAAATAATCAGCCGTAACGCCAAAGGTTCTGATAGGCCTGATTTTCGGTCGATTTGGTTTTTGATGAAAACAAGAAAAAAAACTTATGAAAATCGATATCTTAGGCGACAGTAAAATAATTTAGGCGACAGTAAAAAACCGAGTAAAATAAAATATAAAAATATAATATTGATGAATTATGAATATAAAATTTGAGGTTTCATCAGGTGGACCATGTATCCCTATAGGTTGCAATAGCAAAAAAACAAGCGTGAATCAAAACGCATAAAAACGACCGTAGATCATGAAAAATACAAAATAATTATGCAGAACTACGAATTTAATGGGAATTTAATGTCTTGTCAAGCCAGGATGACACACTTTGAAGACTTTTTTTACAATTTTATTTATGAATAATGATTTGGAATTGTTTTCAAGACAGTGAAAATGTGTAAATCCCTTTAAGCAAATGGATCTTTAACATTCCAATCTGTTAAAAAAATGAATTTTGAAAAGGAGAATATGGTAAGAGCATTAGCATGAATTAGTTTAGAAGTTTGAAGAAAGATTTGATCGAATCGAGTTTAAGTTTGACACTGCGTTTTTAGCTCTTATAACTGAAATTTCTCGAAATCTCAATTGGGAAGAACAATGTAAACCAACATAATGCTGAACTTTTGATGGGTCTTATGTGGTTTCATTTAGCTAAAGACTGGTTCGTCAATACATAACTGTGTCATTTTCATATAATTCTAGTACAAATGGATTATTAATAATTTCTTATGAAAGAAGAAGATCTATCGAAAGGTGAGTAAAATTGTTTCAATTTTTGATGGGCGCTATTTGTGCATGTATTTTAAATAAATTTTTTATTTAAATATTGCGCGTTCACGATATTTTCATCATTAATGTCATTTATTGATTATCAAGTAAATTTTAATGGAATATTTTATGGAAAAATATGTTCTGTTGAACATTGATGTGCGGAACTAACAAAAAAGAATGGTATTTATGCTATTATGAAAATACCAGATAGACGGCATTTATGATAAGTAGGATCCCTTGAAAGTGACATGTCACCGATGATGTAAAAGGTACGGACCAAAGTTGTTTCTTCATGTAAAAATTCATCCCCAATAATATGCACACACATGCCAATAAAATGTAATTAAATAAACTTCAACGTTTATAAGTTACGTTTTTCATTAAACATCTTTATGGGATGCAGTAAAAGTTGAGCTTTTATAGCCATCATATTGATTAAATTTTCTCATTTTCGATGCTCAATTGTGTCCAACTGAACACATGTTGACTGTTGATGAATTCAGTCGACTGGAAAATGTAACAAAAATTGAGTATGGTCATGCTACACGGCTGAAATTTGGTTCGAAAACCAAAAATCGAATACATAAAGTGGATAAATAAAAAATGAACTGAATCAAGTAAATTTATTCATTAAAAGCTGAAATAAAAATTGAATTAGTTTCAATTGTTTGCCGGAAATTTCAAATGATGGTCATTATGTATGGTTTCCAAGCTGGACTGTAATAAATATGAATTGGTGCCATGAGAGTGACGCTTTGCTTTAATTTTTATCATTTAAAAGTTGTGCAAATACATCTATTTTTATAGTTTTGCGAGAGGTAAAAGTGAATTAGTGACGTTTTGTTTTAGAAAATTTGCGAAAATTATCGCTGATTGTGTGCAAAGGTTAAGCGAAAAATTGTTCGAAAACCAAATAAAGTGGTGTTAAGATAAAGCTCTTGAGATTTGATGCCGAACATACACTCAATTTTATAAGTTAGGTTCGCGTGTAAATCGGTCGGATGATTTTTCATGATTGTTACCAAGGCCGATATATACTCCATAACATGAACGACCTGAGGGCCGCTATTCTTTTGGCACGAAATGCTGCTATAATCAAACGATTTAAGTTGTAAACGATTGTACGCTATACAAATTGTACGGTGTACGCTCATCAAACTTATAATATTTTCCATTGGCTGCAAAACTGCTGTGTGTGCATGTGCTTGTGTGGATGTTGGTGTGATTTTTGTTTCCGAAAATTGGTATTCATGTTGTAACATCGCATTATGCAAATTTGCTTTTGACACGACCGGGGAGTCTTAGTAGGAATGAATGGATGAGGTGAGCGGGAAAAATCGGGAGGAAACAGAAAGAAATAGAGAGCGAGAACGAAGACCAGAGAAAAAATTGAGTCATGAATCGAAGGCGCATTTATTGATTTTATTGATTAGACAAATTTGAATCATGCTCCAAGCTCCACGTGAAACAAGCCGAATCGAATATAATGCGCCATGAACTTAATGATGTAATCAGATATTCAATTATTTTGTCTATAGACACACCTATTATTTTTTTCATTCGTTTTTTCACTCTTTCTTCCTTTTGAAATGAGTTGAATTTTTGGAGAAGTGCTGAACTTCCAACGGCTTGTCGGCTTGTGGAAATTCATACCACAGACATCGCTCCAAGCAAATATATAACCAATCTATTTTTCGAGATAATATCGAAAATCATACATGGTGTAATTGGATTTTCGGGTAGTTGTATGTTTCGCTTCACTTAATATTGATGCCGTTCAAAGGAAACACTTTGCTGTTTATTCCAAGTCATCCAAATGACGATTTTTAACTTTTATCTTTTATTCTGCATATTTAATAACTCATCGGATTCAATTCATTGCAGTGCAATAAAGTGAAGGCGGAAAAAGTGAAATTACAAAAAAAATGATCTGATCGAAAAACTTTTTTCGAAACGAAAAGCAGAAACAAGAAATCAAAGTGATTTTTCATCATCATTTTGTGCACATTTGAAACATGTCATGTATGTGCACATTGCACAACTTCTACTAACTAATGTCTTTATCTCCTTTTATAACTTCCATTGGAATACCGTCAATGCCTAACAACATTTTCTTCTCAGATCTACCAAGAGATCTATTTAATCAAAACTTTTATTTCGCTAAAAATTAAGTTCAACTTTTTTTCGCTATGATTTAAAGTGGACCTAAATTGTTGAGGCTATTGGATCCTAGGTTTAGAATTACATAGAAAAAATTATCAGTTAAAATTTTGAGAATTTGAATTTTCAAAATGCAAATTTTCCCATTTGTAATCGTTGATTTTGATAACTTGCATACCAACCGCCTCAAAATACATGATCTTTCGATTTTTAACATACCAGAATTTCTGCCAAGAAACACAGCCGTTTATCAAAACAAATACAAAGCATTTTTTGCTTACCTAAAGTTTAGAAACACACATAAATCTAGTAATTATTGATGTTTGTTGAAGATTTTTTGTGTCGATATTCTAGAATATAATTCCGATTGGAATTAAAGACTGATATTTGAAATGTGTTTACTGATGTTTTATTAGAATCATAGCTGTCTAGAGAGTGAATCCAAACTTTTCTAGCAATACGTTTTCGAATAAGTAGTATATTACCAAATGGTAAAACGTAAAATTTGCCTTTCGAAATTTCCTGAATTCAATGAAATGAATAAAAATTCGTTAATATTGCTGTAAATTCTACACTAAATATGAATATTTCTTTGACCTGCTGAAAGATAAATGCATGTATAGCTACCATAGGTAATGTCACAGTTTGTATTCCAAACAAATTTTCTTTTTCTGCAATTGTCAGTGTTTTAAGTATTGTTTTTGTGCAGATTGTAAATAACGGAATAAAAGAGATTCGCTTGGATTTTTGCGTTAAATAAAGAATTTATATGTTTAAGTTGATTACATTATTAGATGAAGTAATAAAACTGAAATTCACAAAATGGGAGAAACTGGGATCAAAGCAAGGTCAGTGAAATAAGAGGCGAAACCTAAAATAAAAGTCTCGAATAGACTCCAATGTCATGGCAATGGTTTTGGTGCCGTTTTATTTGTTGATACATACTTAGTTTCTTTTTGGCCTCATCGCTGTAAATTGTACCATACAATCTAGAAATCAGGACAAAATGCGTATCTCCAGTTAATTCCTTCATTCCTTAATCGTTGCTGCTGCACACACAAGCGAAAAAAAAGAGAAACAGTTTTGTACTTTATGGGCAGCGAACGTATAATCTCAAGATATTTACAGATAGCAGAAGTTTGTAAACCAGCGTCGATAAAATGTGAATAGCATGAACGTTAGCATTTGTTTAGATCTCGTCCATAAAATGTAAGTAATCTCACTCCCATGCTCCCGTTGGCTCGATGACATCAAAGCTACTATGCTGTATGCTATACAATCTGCAATAACTTTGTCGTTCGTTGGTTGTCGTCGTTTTTTTGCTTGTTTGTATAGTTTCATAAATACCGTGAGTATCGGTTGCGCATATTACTGCCGACGAGCGAAAAAAAGGGCACAGTGGAGAACGTGTTAACAGGAAAATGTGCACCAACTGAATGGTATGGCTTGCGCCATTGTTTTGTAAACTGTAATTGTCGTTAGATGAAATGACAATTTTTGCGGGAAAATGTGGCTTTGTCTATTTTCTCTAATGCACCAGTGAATGAGAGATAGTGCTTTTTATGTCATTTGCCTCTTGTATGCTTCGTTTCAGTTTGAATAAATCACATGGTATATTTTGTGCTTCCATATCGGTGAATATGTCCGTGGCTCATTTGCACCAACAACGCATCAATCGTAAATTTCAATTGGGACTTGTAATGTGATTCACCTTCTCGTTTACTCCCTCTGGATATCTCATTCACATTTGATTCGCATTATATAGCAATATTCGCATGACCATTTCACACAGCAATTATACCATTTTACCGGATTTTCTCTAATCCCATGTCTATTCAGCAAACATTTGATTCGACTCAAAGCAATTTGTTGACACTTTTATATATGTATGCGATGACGTTAACACATTTCAGAAAATCAATTTGAATTCAATCAATATACGGCGTTTGCAATTCACGTAATAATAATACGAAAATGCACAAAATAATATTCAACAAGAAATGCTAAAAATAGTAAGCGGTAAACAAATCAGCCTATCTATGCTATCTAGCATTACCATGTCTATAAGTCACTGTCCAACGTTATAGCGATATATCGTTTGAAACCACTCTATTTTTGCTCTCGACGAACGAATGTAAGCGAGATTATGCGCATATATTTGGTTAAAATGCAATTCACCTCAAAACAGAAGTGAAAATCGAATTATGTGTAGCAATGTGTTTTCTCGCTTTATCTCTCCAACTCTCCCTCTTCCTCTCTTTCAGATACTTCTTTTCTTCTTCCCACTGTTTATCCGTTTCGTTTTTCTTTATGTTTTTATTGTAGGCAAACGATTACTTGCAAACGATTACTTTGTTTGTACAATAATGTACATTTTGTTGAGTGGATACACGATGAAAATATCTACAGGCTAAAAAGCGAATAGTACAACGCGAAGAGACAAGCAATAATATGAACAAGAGTACAAGAACAAAATTGACGCACAAAATGTTCAGAAAATGTCATAGCCGTACATAAAATACCGTTCCAAAATGAAATTATCACGAGAAGGGAACAAGAAAATGAGACAATGGTTGTAACAATACTCTCAAATAGTGTTAAAATGTCATCAATGGATTCACATTTTGGTGTTATAACCATTGCAATTAAGTCTATCGCTTGTGATTCAAACATTTATTCATAATTTTTTGGTATGTTTTTTCTTCTTGCATTGCATCATATCAACTTTGATATTCAATGTCACTGAAATGAGTATCGCTTGCATTTAAGTGCACTACGCACTTACGTCCTACAAAAGTCACCTCACCAATTACTACCATTTCTGGACCACCACAACAAAACAAGGAAATTTCTTTCAACATCGGCAATTCTTCGCGAGCAATTGCAGGAAGCATGCAAATAGTGAACAAGAACCACCAAAATAACCAAATATATCCCTTACGGGTATGTATATAGAGCTTGCGAATGCTTGATAATACGAAGAAATCGATTCATCACAACATTACATTGTGCTTCGAAAATAATCAAAAATATATCAAATAGATAAAGGTATTATGCGTTGCAAACAAACCCGAATATTGCCCAAAGAACTCCGATGTTTATTGAAATAAGAGCGCGCTCTCATTTTGAATAAAAGAACGTAACAAAATGTGTATGACATAAATGAAACACGATTACAAAGAAAATATATCAAATGAAAAAGAAAAGGAAAATACAGATAAAAAAAATTGTATGAATAGCCGATGAACCATGCAAAAAAGTAGAAGAAACAGAAGCTGTTGCTGTTGCAAAGCAAAAGCGCATAAAACCAACGAAAGCCAGGGTCATATTTACGATGCCAACCTAAGCAATTTCTCGGATTGATCGATGGATGTAGTATATACACTTTACAAAAAAGAATTTATATGGTTTTGTTACTGCAGCGTGAGGCAAAAATTCAAAACATATAGTTAAGCGCAACAGTGACATAAATTCTGGGGTTCTCTTTCATGTCATTGAAATTAAGAAAGAGGAAGAATGAGCGAGTTAGTGAATGAGTGAGAGAGAGTGTGAATAAACATGTAGAAAAAAATTTATATGTACGAATACAACGGGCACGCCAATGTTATTACTGGCGCTATTGCTGTGTAGAAAACACTTGTTCGATGATTTTAAACAAAACAAAATGTCAAAACAATGAACAACAACTGCTTTACGCACTCATCCCCCCTCAACAATATCTTATTCTTTGTACACTTTTCTGTCCCTATCGCCGATGTTTGCATTAAAATTTTGGATATTCGATTTTTTTTTATAGGTCTTTGGTATTGTTTGCATATAGCAGGTTTAATATCTATCTTTCGTCTTTTCTTCGTTGTCTCGTTTAGTTTTGTGTATTCGATTACCGTGAATGACAATGTGATATTATTATTTATGAAGGTTGAACCGTATCAAAAACATGTATAAGAATGAGATGCATGTGACCATCGTGTGCAAACACTTTTACGTCAGAATGGTTTGAAAGAACATTGTAAGCGTGCCGTTTTTCATGTGATGTGTGATTTTTTAGCATGACATTCGGAAATGGAATGAAAAAATGATGAAAAGAGAGAAAATGAAGAAGAATACTACAAAAAATCACTCCAAATTGGCCTCATTCCAGAAACATCCTTTTTTCTCCCGTATGAATATATTAATGTGTGACCGTTTTGAAAATATAAAAAAAAACCGATTTTGTGAGTGTGTGAACTGGTTTTTGTTTAAAGCTTCGTTTCAAATTTATTTCTGTTTATCTTTTGGGAGCATTTGGTCAAATATCACTGGGTCAATATAATTTGCAATTAGAGTAGCTCTTTTCTTTTTCGGAATCAATTCGATAGATATATATGTGCATGAAATGGTTTCGCTTGACAACGATGGGTATGTTTTTGTTTCGTAATTCCACACCAAGTCAAACAAGTGATAGACAGATAGAGAAAAAAAGAGAGAGCATAGAGCACCAGAGTCAGGTTCAACCGACCATCCGACCGACCAATGTGTATAACAATCATCACATCAACAGTGAGAACCATGAAAGCAATAAGTGCAGATAGGATGTATGCGCAGTCGCAGTAAACCAATGAATAATTTCGTTCTCATACAAATGTGGCATGCAGTGTGAGTTAAAATAATATTAAGCGTGTACAAATTGTTCGTGTTGTAACGAAAACAAACAATGACCAATATGGATACACAATGAAGCGGATACACATGCAAATGCCATTGTAAAAGTTTGAATGAAAGCATGTGACCAAAACTGACGCTCCATCTCTCTCTCTCTCTCTCTGCGACCGAGACACAAACCGACAGAATTTCCCGCGTATAGTGTGTGGAAAGCTTTTCAGTTCAATCGAGTATTGTACAGGAGTAGTAGTTTGGAGCATACGAGATTCGTAGTAAAACGAATCCATTTGAACTGTATGTCGTATAAAGCACACAAATGCGGACACTGGTTGCTGTGCCATACAAATGGATTGGCTTTTGCATCAAGTGTAAATCTTATTCACCATTACATTGGCATAAATGTGAGTGAATATACATCCCTTTTCGTAGTTATTGACAGTGAGTTATGTCGTAACGCACACTGTGCAACGGTAAAGATACGTGTTTGTGCACACATTATCCCTTGGCTGAAGCTTGTGTGTTGGAAAGCGTAGTCAAGTGTTGATAAAATTGGCGAGTGGAGGGTAAAATTTGTTTCCGTGGATATTGCGCCAAAAGCCATATCAATGTATAAGTGTAGTAGCGGTGTGCTTTTTCCATATTTACACTCACATGCAAATAGGAGCGCACACACACATTTCCATACACAATACATGCACTCATCAATGCTCTTAAGCAAAATGATGATACGACCTCGTCGAGTAACGTGTACACCGTTGTGCTTCTGTCATATATATCTTCTTTTTTTTGGTTATCAATGTGGTTGTAGCGTGCGCGCTTTATATATGAGTATTGGTGTATTGTTGTAAGTGTTTGTTCGCTTAGCATTGAAACTGATAGAAAAGCACGTCCATTTTCGGTATGGCAGCGCATTTCTAAAACGAGTCGTGACCGTGTTGGATGTTGTTGGTGTGTGGATGATTTTCATAGATTTTCATAATTTCTACTCACTTGTTTTAACTTTGTTTTAAATTCATTTGTTGTGTACACTACTTAGCATCCAAATCAAATTGTCAACAGACAAGAATAGCAACAACAACAGTTAGCAGCAACCGTAAAATTATTAAATACAAAAATTGTATTTTATTCAACCTGGTGATTTTCTTATTTGTGTTGTATAAAATGGTCCTGTGAAATGTTATAATAACTCGGGTTTCTCTTTTCGTTTTAAAACCATTTTCAAACTGTGAGTGTATGAGTGGTGCGGATTATTTATATTTTGTGTTTTTCATTGGCAAGCAAACTTTTTATTCTGCTCCATTTCGACATAGAATTGGTTTTTTTTTCATGTGTAAACAAATCAAAATCAATCCTTGTTAATCGGAATAACAAATAAATTTGAAAGTTTTTTTTTGGTATCGTTGGTGGGAGGGAAAAACACCTCAAAAACGGTATATATAAAACGCACACTATAAAGCGAAATGTGCTCTGACAAACGCGAATTTTGTCAGCAGCAGTAGGCAACAACAACAAGACCAAAACCAGTGCACGAATAAAGTTCATGAACAAAAAATGATGAAACAAAACTGAAACATTGGCTGAAAATCATTTATTTATTGACTTTTCGTACAGATTTACTTTCGATTGTTTTGTTTGCTGCTTCGTTTGTTGCCAAAAAGATCAGTGTCTGTGTTATTGTTTTCAATTGTATTAATTTGAAGCGAATTGCAGCGAATGAACTGAATAAAAAAGGCGCGCTCGTTCATTAGGATCATGTGCATACTGACAACGTGTATCAATTGAGTATTCAAACGGCGCTTTGTGTTTGTATTCGAAAGCGTGCCCCGAATGATGTAAGTTCATAGCACACACACACACACGTACCAAATCTAAATAATAACCGACAAAAAGCAAGGAGGTCATGATGCATATCTCCTTGTTCGACGATTGATCATGTGCTTGTGAATATGTGGCCTGACAAATGCGATGTGTCAAAATTCCTCATATCGCATATTCATTCAAATTTTTTGCCGAATAACCAGAACAACAAACAACAAATAACCATATGTAGTTTTGAACAAAATAAGAGACAGAAGAGAATACGGTTTGTAAAGCAGCGGCGGTGTTAATCTACGCAAATTACGAAAAAACTAATCAATTATTCATCGGATTTACATTAGCAAATTTTCGCTATAGCAAACCACAACCAAATGCAATAGAAAAAAACAAGAACAAGAAAAAATCACCCCCATAGCAAAAAAGTGTATTCAAAACTGAAACAAAAGAAAAAACCCAACACCATATTTGCAATTTATCACGAAAAACCAATCGCCAACGGAAATAAAGCGAGACGAGAAACTAATTCAGTTTTAATTGCTGCCCCGTTAGAACGACGGAGACTGACGAATTAAATCCACTAAACAACCACATACAGAGTTCGTCAATCGGTGATATCGTGGTGTTAGCTGTTTTTTTGGATAATTCAAACAAAACTATCACATTTGTGAACGATATAAAACGAACCACACACTCATACTGTGTAGAAATCAATACAAAATCACCGAAAAATTGATTGTATTATCCAATTCACAAAAAAGGTAATATTGATAGCGTATTTGACAAGAGAGAATCATACACGTCATAATTTTAATACAATTTTGGCAGCGGCTTGTCAATAACTACACAGAAGGCCACCCTCGTAGATGAATATTTTGTTTGATTGAGTGATAGGTGAGAGAGAAAATCGGAACGCTTTTGATATCAGTTATATGTCCGGTTCCGAAACGCATCCATTTTTACTTCGTCGGGACCCCATTGAAAACACGAATGTGTGAACATTGGTTGTAAGTTCAATAAAGAGTACCTTCAACAATATACATATCATTTAACAAACATATCAGCACATACATACGCTTGCCTGAATATAATTACATTGATTGTCTTTATATTCACGTGCTTTGTGCCATTACTTAATTTGAATTAGATGTGCGTGCAAACAAACTAACAAAAACAAAACTTCAAACGCAAAAGAAAGCGAATCGGATCGCAACAGGGAATTCAGTACGTTGTCAAGCAAAAAAAAAAACAGAAACCAAAACAACAACAGCACCACCAACAAAAACCGTTTAGCATTTTAACGTCAAATTCTCTAACACATACATTCATAACATATCGCGTTCTACATACACACCGTTTGTGCTGTTGTATATATACATACGACCTTAAAGACATGAATTCAAATGAATTATGTGTTCATTTCACGATGGAAAATATATTATGTTAAGTATCAAATGACAGATCAAATGCGATTAGTTAACATTATTGTGCGGCTAAAATTAAGCGTCTTCATATAAATATATAGTGTACGAAAAAAAAAGAGAAAAATAATAATATAACAAATCGAATGAAAATTGTATATCGTGCTGTTCGGGCGTTGCTTTTACAATTTGGAACAAATCAACGATGAATGGCAATGTTCATTGGTAGACACGACAACGATGATGATATCGACACAATGCGGCTCAACTTTCAAACGCCAATTATAGAAATATAATCACCGTAGACTACACAAACTGGAACTACAACATTTTGCAACTTGTTGTGATCGGCACACATGAAATTGAAGGTAAGCACAAATCAATTCATCTTCGATGACATTTTTTTTCTCTCGCACTTTATTTCGAACATTTAATTATTTTGAAGCCGCGCTAGCCGAGATTTTCGAATTGGAACGTTCCATCGAAAAATGAACATTAAATAATTGTACGGTTTTGATTCATTCTTCACATTCAATTAATTTATGAATTTAGTAATTTAATGGTATTCATGTTTGTCTGTCAGATTTTTAAAAAAATATATCAACATTTTTTTTAAACAAAAAGAGCAGCACTTCATTGAAGCAAAGATGAAAACTCAATTTAAGAATCATTGGAGTTGTTGAAAGCAACTTTTTTTTGTTGGTAAATCGTTTAAATACGATTTTTTATTTTATGCTACCGTTTGTCGCAAAATTTGATATCCCCATCAAATCGCCCCATCAAATCGATTCGTGAGGCATCATCATCATCAGGAGAATTACATTAAATAGAAAATCCATGTGACATCTTTTCGCAAACTATATATATTTATAACCAAGTTGAGAAGAGAGAAAATACTTTGCAAACAATGTCTAAAACAAAATATCACGAGAAATTCTCTGACAACCACCCTCGAAAAGTTAAAAAGAAAAATCGTCGGAACATCGAACAATCGAGCAGATAGAAAAGTAACAAAAAAAATAGAGAAGAAGAAGACGAACATCGTACGAAGTACTTCTTCTTTTCAACCGTGAGAGTGAAAGAGCGAAAACTCAATGGAGCAATATGTGTGCTTGGTGTTCCTTGGCATTGTTGCCTATTTATTGAATAAATGAGGAACGAAAGAAAACGATGACGATAAATGAGAATGAACACACACAACAAAAAAATATTCGTTCCCTTTTATGGATCCAGATAATGTGAGCATAAATGTTTCTTTGCTTGTTTTCTACCGAAAATAGCCACTTCTTCGTCAAAAAGATAGAGTCAGTGAAAAAAAAGCACATCATTATAGTCCGAACCCAACAACAACAACAAAGAAACGAAGAAGAAAAGAATAGAATGACGATGTGTATAAAGAATGCGACTTCATAAAACAAAATGCTTTTGTATAGTTTTCGAAATGGTTGTTCATATTGTGACGACGCTTTTTATACAGTGTATGAACACAGCAATGCTGGATTTATACTATCCGCGTGTATTGAATGTGGTGATGCGTCGCGCGTGAAGAAACGCGCGTGATGTGCAAAACCTATATCCCTCCCGTCCAGTTCGTTTAGGGTGAGAGAAAGAGCACACACACATTGTATTTCTATCAAAAATCAACATTGAGCTCCTTTATCACTTTGACACACATTATACTCTATACCTAGCTTATACTCATATCCATCGCACAACAATTTGAAATTTTCTTCATCCCGTTTTGCCCGTTCGAGTATTATATGTATTTCAGTTAGTGCCATTGATTGCTTTTGGAGCGGACACACACATACAAATTCAACTTGAGAACTGGTTGAATGGCATAAAATTTTATATCCATCTATTATATCACAGTTTGTCTATTGTAACATTTGATTTGCGAACAGCAGCGAAACAAATATCGGTGATGTTGTTATTGTTGTTTCATCCACTTTATCTATACTTGGTACATTGTTCAGCAACACGATGACTGAATACTTTTGCACGTTTTCCTGATGCGTTTAGCACGATGGATAGGCGCTGAGAGAAAAAAAGAGATGTGTGCTCAGAAAACGAAGATTTATTGATCTTAAACCGAAGCTAAACAACAAGTCATTAACATCATTTAGTTTTGGCATTGCTACCGTGTATGCATCATAGCCTTACTTGATAAAATCAACACTATATCACCAAAAATATATATATATATATATCCCATTCTCTTTCGAATGAAAGAATATGTATACGGTACTTTTTTTATTCATTCATTCTTTCAAAATCTAAACGAAATGCTTGACAATGTGTGAACGAATTGATACAAAAATTCTCCTATCCCATCTCACTCACGGCGATGAATTGCAATTATTTTTTTAACAAAATAAGAGAAAAAAACCACACACACACACGTGCGCGCGTTTTTGATTGCGTAAGATGTGAAAAGATTTTTAGAAAAATGTGGACACAGCCTGATAAAACTGACTCTATTCAACATATTCACACACATACACAAATATCAATAGGATGACATAGACAACCCTTATTATTACATCGTAAAATCAAATGTACAAACAGCAAATACAATCGAAAATCGTTCGCTATGCTGAATAGAAAATAGATTTAATTTATCGAGAGAGAGAGAGAGAGAGAAGCTTTTGCGTTTTATTCACGCAACGCAGGGAATTCTTCGAAAAAAACCGGAACGGAAGAACGATATAAACGAAACATTTTCGAAAATGTTATTCGTTTTCCATCACGTTTTATTGCTTCGATCGTGTACACGATATTTGACACAATCGTATACGATGAATACGATTTTCCTATAGACGGCACGCTATTTAACACACTTGCTGAAAATACTCACCGCCATCAACCAATAGTGATTCACTTTACATTCCTCTCTCTCTCTTTCCTTCTCCTTCTTCCTTTTTCTCATTCACATTTTAGTTACGAACCATCCAAATGCATTGTGTTCGATTTGTACGTAGACAATCTCTTCCCCACCTCTATAATTTCAAAACGAACCAAAGATATTGAGCCAAAAAAGAATGTCATTGGAACTGTCTTTATTTGTTTTTAACAATGTTAGTCGTATTGATAGATCGAGTACGGTGCTTTTGAACACAACTGAATAATGTCAAGTGCGGTCAAATGAAAATCGGATTTCCTTTTGTTCGGAAGTCACTGTCTCTCTCTCTCTTCTTTTTTCTTTAAAAAGTATATGCCTCGACAATGTGTTGCTTTACAAAGGCAATGTTGATGATTACAATGATATCAGTTTACATAGAAGCGTTGTCATTTACAAAATATTCTCTTATTCAATTGTTTACTCTTTGTCTCTTCACTTTCACTTTGTGTTTGTCATTTGTTTCGCAACTTTATAAACCGCAACAATCAAATAAAGTGGTGCAAGTGTTTAAAAAAAAGCATCTAACTCAACGATTGGGATCGAAAGCTTTGAATGGATTCAATTCCGGCTAACATTCAATATAACGATTACCTGACGGAAAGTGGATCCTTTGTTCATTCAAGAGATTATTTTGTCATGTCATAAAACTATTCGATACTATTTTCATTTTCAATTTGCACAAGAGCCGTGCAATCATTTATACGTTGACAAAATAATGGAAGAACAATTTAACCAACACCAAACATTCACATAACCAGATAAATAGAATTTATTAAACAAACATTTCTTCAGTTTCACATAACGTGGATTACATAAATGTGCATTTGAACCATATATTTTGAGTTGTTTTTATATAGAAAATATTTCTCTCGTTGTATGGCCAAAATGGCCCTCTACACACAAATCACAACTAACCTCAATATGAACAAAAATTGACATAAAACTCAATTTATCCGAAGTCTCAACCGTTTTTGGGATAAATTTTAGTTCAGATTTTTTCCGCTCAAATATTTAAGTGCTTAACATATATCACTTTGGCATTTGAGCGGAAAAAATGCATACTAAAATTTATCTCAAAACGGTTGAGACTTCGGATAAATTGAGTTTTATGTCAATTTTTGTTCATATTGAGGTTAGTTGTCATTTGTGTGTACAGTTCATTTAATGAATACTTTTCGATGATCTCATTCGATATGATTTGTAATATGCAAACCGCATATATTTCGAGTTTGTCCATTGAAATTTGTTTGATATAAAAGTTTATTTGATTTGTAGAGTCAAATGACCAAAAATGTTGCGCTTTTAATTAACAAAACCCAAATAATTGCAGTTGATAGGCTCCTTTTCAAATTAATTGCATCATAAAGTCATTTACCTAAATTTCCATGTTGTAAACACATTGATTGGTTTGGCAATTTGCACTATCATTCCGATCGCTACGTTCGACTGAAATAAATAGAGAACAAAAGAGAGAGAAAGAGAGGAAAATCAAATGCAATGGTATTTGTATCGAATATGAAGAGCTTATGTTGAATTAATTTCCGAACCAACATTGTTGTGTGTACATTTTGATTTTACTCGAAACATTTTTGAATTTATATTTATATTTGTTCCGTTCAGCACTGAATTCAACAAATAAAATAAAATAAAATGTATTTTAATTGAATTGCATATGTTGTTAGAATCAACAAATCCAATTTCGATTAAAATCAACGAAAATGCCTTGAACGCACATACACGCATTAGACAACTAACACCTGATGCCGACGTATACAGTACATAGAATGTATTTTCCGAAATGCAACGCTTTTATCTCTACATAGACACATTTCTGTAGTCTATAAAATAATAATGATTTGACGGTTTTTCGTAATCTTTTGCCATCCTTTTGTAAGCCAAACCAAAAGACATATTCAAATCGACACTGTCTCGACTATAAAGTAAATGTTGAACCAAATTCTAATTACAATGTAAACCCGCCATTGAAATCGGTATACAAGCAATTTTAGTAATGGTTTGTTTTATAGAAATTTCAATGAAGCCTATGGGTATGTAAATTAATTTGGAATGCTAATTGAAATAACCTGTTCCATTTTCAGTTTTTCAGTCTCGCCGGCGTAAACTAAAGAATCGCTTTCCATAATATTTAGTGAGCGTCTATGTCTGGACTTAAATGAAAAGATAGACAATTATAAGAAAATATTATGGCAAATTTCCAAACACGATTGTATCTCGATAATAGTATACCGTCATGCCGTTCACATGAAAATCAAACGAACATTTGATATAGAAGTATATATATTCTTTTTTTGGTTTCGAATGAGAAAGATATTGTTGCGAACGGTGGCACTTACAAAAGCCAAGTCAAGGCATTCATTGACTCCCACTTGTGGTAACATATCACACTCTTTGAATTCCACATGGAAAGCTCAAATGTTGTAAATGAAAATAACGCCTTCACGGAAA